CAAGCTGCTAAGTGGATGTCATGGTCTTGCCTCCAGCCGTCGGCCAGTTCGTTGGCTGCTTCTTTGTGGGTTAATTGTGAATTTCCAATGATTTGATTGCGAATTGCTTCGAAGGTAGCAGATGTAAAATTCAGTTCGATGTCCATTGCTGGATCTGATGCGATGCGAGCCATGTTGGTTTGAGAAGATGAATTAAATTTGTTTTAAAGTGAAATATAGTGTTACTGGGCTTTGAGAGATAGTGTGGGGTAGCGAGAGAAAGAAAAGAGGTTGACGCTGTACTCGTCGACGATCTTACTGGTGGAAGAGTGAGAAGAAGAAGCGCCGGCTTCTTCTGCTCTTCCAAAGACGAAACTCTAAGACTACGCTCATGCCTCACTGCATCATAGAGCGGCAACATTTGTCTTGTAACTATCATTCAATTAATGCATTAATATGACAGGATGGCCTGTGTGGCAGCCATTAGTGGACTGAGAAGTCAGCAAAGAAACACACCCACTGCTACAGATCACCACAGTTAATTTGAGGGGAATGGCAGGCATTTGTACAGAAGACTCACTGTATCTGTCAGCGAGATGGTCGGAACACCGCCTGAATACCGTTGATCAGAAGAAGTAAAGATAGTGAATGAACTAAGGAGACATACTCAGAATAGCCAGGCTGATTAAGAGACAGACGATTAGCACAACACCAATTGTTTAGCCTTCCGAACATACGCAGCAACTAGGATTCCAAGGTAGCGCACCTAGGATATTTTCAAGTCAGCACACAATGGCACCTACGACAAACAAGCTACATACACTGAGATACATCACTGTCATTAGGGACCAGTGTTGCCTCTGTAAATAAGTGTATTCTCATGCGTGTTCCCTCTGCCATGAGACTCTACTCACCCAGATGAGTTCGACCTATAAAAGGATTCTTAGCGAGATGGCTGCTCCGGTCGACTCATGGCCCATCGACATACCTCTTGTCCAATTGTGAGCACTGAAAATACTTGTAAGATATCAGCAGTCCTTTAATGTTATCATGCTCACCCCAATTGTATGTTACTCCAACAAGGGTGGCAACTGCAAAACTGTAGCCAAGGTCAGGTTGAGACATCAGCTTCAACATCCGACTGCTCCACAAACCTACAAAATAGCTGGAAAAACGATACGCACTGATGGACGGTGTAGCACTCGAGCTCACGCTAGGCTCGTATTCAGCTATTTTCCCATGCATGTCAAACACACGAATTACTTCCAATGTTATCCAACACTCATCCGCTCAATCTGATGTTTATCCGCTAAACCCGACGCTAATCTGATGGACCCGACGTTTCCCGCGCATCGGACCCGATATTTTCCCGCGCACTTGTCCTCCCTATGTCTTGTCCTGTCGTATCTATCCCCACTAGGTGCGCAGTTACTTGTTTTCACATTGCTAACATTGTAGAACGTGTTATTACATGTCCGCAGTACATCATGTCTTATTACATAGGACACCGGACCCGAAAATCAGCGCTACTACTTTTGCCTATAGCACTCCGAAATCCTACATAGATACTATATATTTCGCATACCTCCTACCTATTTACTTTACCTTTCTACCTCCGAGTAGGAGGAGGTCATTCGATATTCGTAGTTCTTAGTTGGATTCTGCAATATCATTCTTTCTTTATCCGAAACATCAGACAGTAACCCGCCGTTCACTACCCCCGACATTCGCTATATTCCCGATGCAAACCTGACGCAAACCCGATGCAACCCGACGCAAACCCGCTAACCTAAAAACATCGGACCCGACATTTTTGACATCGGACTCGTAATTATACCTTCGGACTTTGTTTCCCGCTGTAGGGATTCATTTCTGGCTGGGCTTGTAGAGACTGTTTTTACCTTACCTTATGTTGGCACTTTTGTAGCTTACATAATCAAGTTACCTTTTCACCAGTTACCAGTATGAGTCAGAGTACTCAGCAAGTTTCTATCATATTTCCTCTCCTCTGAGCCTTGAGTCTGGTCCAGAAACCCTTTAGGGTCGAATAGCAGCTAGGTTCTGCAAGACCCAACATTGTTCAGACTCACCATCTGAATTGTTGTACCTTCACCGCACTTCGGACTATCTTCCTTTTGATATAACTGATTATTCTAATACCATACAGCAAACCCCTTGGGTCGAACGCACTTGTCTTGCAAGTATAAGCAGACTAGGCTGTGCACAACCACAACATTTTTATATTGCTGAACACTTACTTCATGTGGTGTCTAGCAATTGTTGTATCTCTACAACGGCCACCAAGTGGGATCATTTGAGACTATAGTCATATTGTTAGAGAATGGGTGTGAGTGAGAGGTGAACTTAGTAAATGTATAGCGGTGACATCCGCGCTATATGTACGTATAGTGCTCACTATAGTTTGGTAACCAGGATATCAATAAGATCAGGGTGAATATTTGTGCACTCCATATAATAGAGTTAACTGGTTCTTGTATTCCTTATATAGAAAATTGATGAACTTTGTTCCCTGGAAGCTCCGTCTGTGGCTAGGTTGGGCTGTGCCTATAGAGTGTTACATGAATAGTTGACTCTTCGCAAGCAGACGACCCCGACATCAACAGGAACATTGAGTAGAAACCTCTGCTTACCTAATGAAGACCGCCATTTGTTTCCGCCATGCGCACCGGTACTCAATGTTCAACATTTAAAAAAATTACTACGCGCTGCTGGCTTTCTGCCGTCGAATAATACACACATTGCCATTCAAAATACGAGCCTCGCGTGTGATGAAGACTCAACCAACCAGTGACCAACAGAACACATTCAATTCTAATTAAGTTCAACACACTCCAAGTTCCAGCGGCTCATCTACTGCCATCCGTTACTGAATTTAATCACAATTTTGCTGTGTGTGACCCTCCCGTCAACAAAGCCCACATTTTCGAGGGGCTCTCTGAGTTGCGCTCATGGTTGACTCAAGGTGAGCCTGGGATGCTATTGGAGTGGCTGCTGTATTCTCTGAACGGACGCGGCTTCTCACCAATGGCCCTCCTCCACGCGGTCTACCTTCAATGGCACCTGTGAGTCATGCTGACCGTGGGCGCCCTTTCTGCTGAATGACTGGAGGGTCGTGGATAAGAGTGGAATGGGCCTCTTCAGCTTTGATTCTCCTGAGGGAAACATTTGATAAATTTAAATCAATGTACTGACAAAACATACTGCAGCTCATCAAGGTCCTGCAATAGCTCATCGAGGTCTTCCTTCGTGTGGATGCCATTTATGAGTGGCTTGAGTGCAGCATGAGTTTCGTGGTATACTTCACGTGCACCAATAGTCTGGGTGGGTGGTACAGCGCTTTGCTGTGTGGAGGAATCAAGTGGATTGGATTTGTGAGAAGACTTTGTTGTGAGAGATGTTGATCGAAGGGCAGAGTTATTCTGTGGTACATTTTCTAGAGAAACTGATGACACAGTCTGGATGTCCAAGTTATGATCTTGATACCATCTGCATGAAGGTTTGTCAGAGTCGAGGACTACGCTGTTGCACCACGCACCTTGCTCAGACGAGTCCAATATGAAACGATAAGGTTGGCATCCTGGTCAGTGCTTGAAAGTAGTGACGACAAGGAATGCCAAGGTTCATTCACATGCAGCAGTCACACAGATAACTGTCATTTTGAAGGATGGCGAGGAGGTGCGTCGTTTTTGTACCATGGTTGATTATCTTCAAGAGATGTTGTATCTCCAATCCTCGTGAACTTATCAGCCGGAGCAACCACTTGGTGGAAATATATGCCTTGTCATTCTTGAAGTTATTGATCATGTGCTGCGGCAACAGGAATCATTGCATGAGTTTTGATTGACTCTAGTAGAACAAAGCACAGACCTGTTCCTCATTATCACACCATGTATAACCACGTTCACCGCTGTCTGCCTGAATCACATACTCCATCTAATGATACAGATAGTATCTGTGTTCAAATCAATGATTCAAAGCAGATAGTTTGAAGGCACATACCCAATTTTTTACACCCAATGGTCGCTGGACAACCTCCGTTTCATAGAATAGACTCTCCTCCATCTCCTTGTGGCACTTTTGTAGTGCAAATGGACCAGTGTGCTGTCGTAACTGTGCAAGCAGTCCTGCAAAAAGTATTTCAAGGTTCTGAACATGTTGACGGCATGATGACTGAAAACTTATTAGGATTTGGCATTTGAATACTATCAAAGTGTCAGGCTCACCTCTCGAACTTTAACCATTTCCTGGATAGTTTGTCCATTTGTTCTTTCGTTGAGACTGTTGAATAGCTGAAGTAAGGTCTTTTTTGGTCCTCCGAAAACTTTGTTGATTCAATTCTCAACCTCAACCCAATCATTTGTTCGAATACCTGCTGTGAAGACATGGCTCACCCAGGCCCAGGCCCAACGTTCTCGGCAGTCGTAGATTTCTTCTAGATATTTCTGAGCCCTGGGGAACTTTGCTGTGATGTTAGTCCATAGCCTCTCGAACTCGGTTGGTGATACTGCTCGATATACCATCCAAAAGTCATGCATAAAGTCCTCCCACTGAGAACCAATAACAATATGAAGGTTTTGTGTGATGTTCCCGGTGAGATGATGAAGACAATACAAGTGACGCGAGAGAGGTATTGTCTGGGATGCTGCAGAGATAAGTGAACCATGTCGATCTGAAAGAAAAACTTTTGGTGGGCGCCGCGCAGCCTCCAAATGGCATTGGAAAATCCAACGGTGTGATTCCACATCTTCTGTTGCCTGAAAAGCATACCATGCATTCTGTGAGGCACCAAAATTGTCAATAATGATGCCAATGTTGAGCGAATAAAGGTACTGATTGCAGTTGTATGTGTTATCATTGATGAGAACATCAGAAAAGCGTTGAGCAAGATCAAGTTGAGTGGGACTGAGCCACCAAAGGCCAATGACAACCTGGCTTTCATCCAGCCGAAGTTTATACTGCCAACGTTCACCATCATCAATCCTGCCTTGTAGCACAGCAATGATTGCTGCAATATCACCACCAAGTGCCTGCACATCATCTCGAGCCTGACGACGTGCATTATTAATCATGTTTGATACTTGTTTAGGCTCAAGGGGGTGGTCCGTGAAATGGTTTGCAAGAATAGTGGATATGTGCTGTCGCTGGAAGCCATTGCTCATTGCAAACTCGGAGACAACCTGATGCTGTGCTGTGGTTGGTGGTCGGACAATGGTACCCCCAGGAGGGATTTCTCGCGGGTGATTATGGTCCCAGTTGGTAAGAGTAACCTGCCACAATGTCGACCCATGGATGAGATTGAGATTGACATGAGCATTACAACCTGTCTTGATAGTCTTGCCTCTGCGGTGGTCAGAAGAATCAATAGCCATTGAGTGAGTTGGTTCGTGTTGATGGTAATGGTTACATCGGAGGGTGAGTTTTTTCAACTGCACAGCACTATCCCCGACATGTTTACTTTGTCCTCGGCGCCAACGATGCCTGCAGTTTGCCTCACGAGCATAAATGCAACGTTGGGCCTCTTCAATGCTCTCAAACACTGATCCAACTGCAATGGGATGACCTATGGTGCTGATACTGCGATCTGCAGTTGATTCTTTGACAGGTGGTTTGAACTGTTTTGCAAGCAGCTGTAACTTGATTCCTGGATCGTCAGAGTCACTAAGTTCGATGATAGACCCAGATAACTCATTCTCCTTGTTGCTATGGCAACGGCGCTTTCTTGATTCAATGCGGCGAGGATGGGACATGATTATAGGACTATCAGGTGGTGTCTTGACATTATATCTTGGCAATGCACTTGTTGTGACGTGGAGTGGTGAAATGAGGTCGATAACCTCAATTTTCATAGTTTGAAGTGGAGTCCGTGGTTCTTGCATTGATGGCTCCAAAAATTGAGGAGGAGGAGATTGAAGTATGATGGGATTCACAATACTGTTCCCAGATGTCACGAAGTTGAGATTAGAAGTGGGATTGATGTTATTACTAGACATGTTCTGCAGCGACGAGTCCTGAATAAAAAATATCACAACTGTTAGCATGCACGTAATGACTTTTCAAGTTCTCTTACATTCAAGACCATCTGACGAGATAACAAATGTCGAAAGGGAGGGTAATTACAATTTCATTCGAAATTAGAGCCTTGAATTTATAGATTGGATGAGAAGCCTGGAGACTAGATGTTAGTAAGTGAGACTTGTATAGGCTGTAGATTACTACCAATGGTATATACAAGTTGAAGTCATTAAAGCTGACAAAGTCTTCCAAGCAATTAGATTGAACCTCATTGTTTAGACATGGGCGAACCCAGTCAAGAAAGACTGTGTCCTAAAGAGTTAAATGAATGTGAGCCTCATGAAGTTTTGTGAATCTGATGAATTGGACTTACTGAAGTTTGTACTGCCGCATCATGATAGATAATCATTTCTTGCAGTGCCTTTTTGCGAAATTCTAGTGACGAGACATTATCCCAATACAGAACACTCTCGTCAACAAGTGATTCGACAAAATTGTGAGCCACAATGCCACAGCTCCCTGATCCAGAAGACTGTAGTGCGAGTGCTCCCTTCTGGACAGAGTGTGGTGGTGGGTAGTTGCTGAGACCAGTAAGAATCCATGAAAAGATATTAAGAACATCAGAGGCTGGTTCTCATCCCATCAAGTCATTATGAAGAAGTTGTGTAGACTTGTTGTAGAAGTATGCTGCAAAATGATTATTATCCCAGACAATAAAGCCCATAGTCTGGACATCTGAACCACGCAGCCAGTCTCGTAATGCAGCTATATTTTGACTAAACACCTGTGGCTGCTGAGCATAGAGGTACCTTGCATCGTTAGAAAATGATGTTGGAAGAAAAAGAAAGTCAGAACAGCTGAATTTGGATGCTGATGCCAGCTGGAAATACAGCAATTCAGCCATTCCATTGAGGACATCCTCTTCTGCCCAGTTCTCGTCCAATAGACACCCAAGTTTCCACAAAGGGAACTCGGTAATATGAAATCCTCAGATGTGCTGTGTAATCGATAATGTAAGGAATTTCATTGCTGCTGTGCATGAAATTGGAAGGGTTGTTGAGACAAATTTATAGATTTGACATGCATAGAGTATTTTTGGATGGAAATTATTGATTCCTGTAAAAAGCCGTATCTAGTAGATAATAACAAGGTTAGGCTACAAGCATTTAAAAATCAAGAGTTTTGTACCTTTGTGAAGTGATATGTTCGTGAAATAGGTTGCCCATTGATTATTGCCTCTATAGACACAGACCATGCACCCTTACTAAAAGCCTCCTCCATTTGTTGGATTATGGGTTGTAGGTCATCCGAGTGAAGGGCAACTTCACTGGGGAGAATAACAGTAGCTATTGCTGAGCCTGGGACATCAAGATCAAAGCACCAGCGAGAAATGGAGCCAGCTGGAGCAATTTCAGGAAATTCAAGAGACAAAGCATTGTTGAAGGTAATGCTCCGAAAGTAATTCTTAGAGTAAGCTGAGAATGGATTAGGTGTTGAATAAGATTCGAAGGATTCACTGGAACTCATTCACGGTGACCAGACCCAGTGTCAGGCTGCAGTGACTGTACTAGTAAGTGAATCGTTGCAGGTTTGTCATTAAAAATGCAGCCACTATGTGAGAATATACTGAAAATTGGATACCAGGCAAGCAAACTTGGTCAAAACATAAGTCTTATTTCTGAATTATGCAGCAATTCCTAGCTCTATTACTACCCACCAGATAAATGGTGCTTTCGAGCTGATCTACTCACTTGCCCCTTTTAGCAGTACGGCGCTGGCAGTGGGCTCCGGCCGTCAGAAACCCTGCTACAGTATTGAAAGTCAAAAGGGTTTCTGATGACTAAGCAAGTACCCCCATGTAAGGGGGTTTCTCATTAGAATTATCCGTTGGTTGCATCCTTGCTTTTCAAGTTGACATTCTTTTCTTATTCCTCTGTTCAGGTAAGATCATCCTCCCCCCCCGCTATCAGCTCGATCGGACGAGTCGTATACTAGAATCATTCGGTTCTTAGCGTGCCGTCTTCAGCGGCTCTAGCATTGTTCGCATTACCATACGAAATACACTCAATTCTACATCTTGCCTCGGTGTGCTGACTGAGCAGTACGATGCAAGTCCAATTACTCTGAGACTCGCATGCCCCCTTCGACCTTAGCTCCTTAGCTGGCCAGTTTTTCTGAAGACTGGTTAAGACATTGTCTACTTTAGATTCTTCCGCTAATCCTGGTCGGTGATCTCCATTCCCAGTGTTTAGTGCAATCATACCAGCATCTATTATACTCCAGCCCTAGACAACATGGAAATACACGTGCAGCATGGCCTAAACACTCAACCTCTTCTCTCTCTCAGCCAAACTCCATCCACAGTCTGACTCATTCCACCCACCTCCGCCTTCTCCTACTGCTCATTCTGAATCTATCTCAATTTCAGATGCTGCGTGTCATTCGTCGTTTGTTTCGTCCCACAATCAAGCGTAGTGGCCTAGAAGAACGATATATTAGACTTGAAGGTGAGTCCCTCCGAACTACCTTCGTATCAGTCATCATCCTCACACTCTATCTACAGTCATCAACGGAAAGAATATTCGAATTCCTTCCGGGCGCATTCCCGCTGGCATCTACATATCCGTCAATGTCGACTCCCGGAGACGCTGGAAATCAGCCATCAGTGTCTCATTGTCTGATGAATTTGTAGTGTGGGAGAATTCTGTCGCTTTGTAAAGTCCATGGAGGCTTTCTGACGCTATGCAAGAACTGATCTTTGGTCTATAGATCGTCACATGCCTCACCTGTGTTGTCAGCGGAGATCAGAGCATTTTATGAGCTTGGTCGAATGCTTGGCGATGGTGAGGTCGTTGGAGGACTTCAAATGTCATGGGATGAACTACTCAATCATGGACATGAGCCATTCGGTGAGTGATTCGCTTCTTATTCATGCACATACAGTAATGTCCTGTAAATTTAGCCTTCCCACCTGTGCGTGGTGTTCACCGTTCCATCGAGCTGAAGGCTGGTATTGTACATGCTTGCGACGATCAGGATGACGCACTGTTTGATGTGAGTGACGCTGGTATCTGTCGTTCAGCTTTTGCTGGCAGAACGCAAACTGCAGTCCATCGTAGACTGCAAGATTGCTCGAGACACAGATGCGGGCCACATACAATTTACCGCATACGTGACGAGCAAGACAGTCTCTCACCTGAACGACGCTGTAGAGCATTGTCAGTTGGTTCTGGACCAGTGCCCGGTCAGCTATCCAGACCATACCATGGCTCTCACCAACCTCGCGTGGGCCCGCTTCATAGGCTACCTCCGAAATTATTTTCAAGACATCGATGCCACCACTTCCCTCTTCCATGACGCCCTTGCATAGCGTCTGCAGCCCCATCCCGATCATGCCTTAACCTCACTCAAGTGCTGAGTCAGCGCCACAACAAGAAAAGGACTGCTGCTGGCATCCGCGAAGCCACCCAACTGTATCATAAACTACTGTCTCTCTGTCCAGAGGACACCTACCTTCGTAGCATTGCGGCAGGCAATGGTGTCACTTATGTGATCGACGAATGCAACGATCTTCCAACAGACGCATCCGATGAAGGCATCCACCTTGGAAGAGTCATCTTCGAGCTCTGTCCTCTGGGCCATCAACTCCGTCCCACAGCCCTCAACGAGCTTGCACAAGCCCTTCAAACACGCTTTGATCAGCACGGCAGCATCGATGATCTTGACACGAGCATACAACTCGGTCGTGAAGCCGTATCTCTGTGCCTCGAGGGACATGCTGACCGCGATACCTACCTGAACAACTTGGCTTCTTCACTCACGTTGCGCTTCCATCCTCAAGGCAAAGCCAATGACCTCAATGAGGCCATCTCTTTGCACGAAGAGGCGCTGCGCCTGTGCCCTGTTAAGCACCAATATCGTGTTTACTCATTAAACACCCTAGGGCCTGCCCTCGTCGCCCGTTTCAACAAACGCGGCGACATTGATGACATCACCCGAGCTATCAGCCTCTATCGCGAGGCACTGACGTTGCACCCACCTTGGCATCCACGCTCGACACCAGACATCGCAAATCGCATGTTAGTGAGGATCTCAACGAGGCCATTGATTTGTGTCGCGAATCCCTTCGGTTAAGAAGGCTTGACCATCCACAGCGTCATGTAACTCTTCACAATTTGAGCTCGGTGCTCTGCTCTCATTTCACGCAAACTCAGAAGAATGAAGATGTCGAGGAGGCCATTACTCTTTGCCAACAATCATTGTCAGCTTTGTCTTCACTGCGCCCGGACAGGTATTTCAGCTACATGAGGCTGCAGGAAGCCTATTTGTCTCGTTACCGGATTCTACACAACCCTGCTGATTTGTCACTCGCTGTACAGAACTTGAGACTAGCATCAGGACATGCCACACAAGGCTTTCCAGAACGTCTCAAGGCAGCTTTCCGCTGGGTTGCTGCAGCAGAGGAGCACAACCATGCATCTGGACTGGAGGCCTACACAACATTTTTCAACCTTTTTGACGGTCACTTGGCAACGCGATCATTGACAATTTCACGACGCGAAACTGCCGCTGCCTTCTATTATGCCAGATCACTGCCCGTAGTTGCAGTCTCATGTACTATACGTCATATCAATCTACGACGGGCAGTTGAGCTCGTGGAGCAGGGCCGTGGCCAGAAGTGGTCTCTAGCTTCTCGACTCAGGACTCTAGTCGAAGACCTCGAGCCAGCAAATTCGACACTGGTGCACAATTATTTAGAGCTGAGCAAACTCATTTCCAATGCAGCCCAGAGTTCTGCAACCATCACCGACAGAGCTGCTGCTGATCGAGCAGCAACGGAATATAGAAGACTTACAAGGCAATGGGAAGCCGTGGTAGCTGAAATACGCGATCTTCCGGCGTTCTCGCGGTTCCTGCTCCCACCTTCATACGAAGACCTCCAACTCGCAGCGCGGCAAAGTCCGGTCATCATCCTCATTGTGAGTGAATACCCGTGCAGCACCATCATCGTCAGGAGATCCCATCTATGTTCCTTTGCTGTCCATCGCTCTCGCAGATCTCAAGATTTTCAAGGATCGCTTCACCGGGGCAATATGAGATTCATCTCGGATGAACCCAGGAGAGTCGAGGACAGATCTCATTGTGCTCTTGCGGATAATATGGGACCAGATCATGCTACCTATCGTTAATGTACTCGAGCACATTTTCAAACTAAAGCACCACTTGAATCTGGTTGTGTCCCACTGCAACTTTCACATCCATTCCTCTCCATGTAGCTCACCCGTTTCAAACAAAGGCGGATTGTCCTGGGAAGGTGCCATGCCTGGAAGATCTCTACATTTGCTCTTACACGCCAAGACTTTCCGCTCTGATCAGATCCAGACAGCTGATGAAGAAGCGCGTGCCTCCGTCCTTTGTGACGATCGGACAGGGTCAACCGGGTGCAGGGAAAGGCAAGGCGCTCTTGGCCGTCTACAGTGAGCTCGAGTTGGTCCACAAGCTAGCAGGACCCTACGCAGCCTTATAATTCGCATTTAGTCGTGAGAGACGAACATCTGACGCTGCTCGATATCATGAAGAAACATCTTCCGCAGGCTGAGTTCGCGTTCTTATTAGCCTGTCATACTACTGTAGGCGATGCAGTTCTATCTGTTCCGACCATCCCAAGAATTTTCCATCCTGCCCCACACTGGACTCTTTAGCCCACCTTCACCTGCCAGACGCGTCTCCTTCGCTTTTTGGAATGCTCAAGTTAACCGAAGCAATGTTGAAGTACGTGAGGAGGATGTCGAGGGCCTTGCCGCATGATCAACAAAGCCCGCAATCACCAGTCCGCCTATCCAGTAGTCTGTAGCAGACGTTCACAACTCATTCATGTACTACACCATGTCATCATTCAATTTCGACGTTCAACCTCCCATTCTCGACTCACGCTAACTGACTTACACGCGTGAACTACTGTCCGTGTCTGCGCTCATAAAGTCTGAAGTCAATATCCCGTAGTGCTTCCGATACCACGAGAGGTGGGTCACAGGTTGTCCTCAGAGATGAGAAGCAGGAGCAAATAGAAACTTGCATCTAACGTTCCGGCGACATCGCCTATGAATATCTCTCGCTCCTCGACTTTCCCGTTCCTTTCCTTCGTTGGTACAGTAGAGATAACCAGGACATTGATTGAAACATTGTCAATGTCAGGACCTATAGCAAATGATTCGAATAAATACTGCGACGAGAATATTGCCTATACCTATGTCTCCTTGACACCTATTTTGTGACACTAAATAACTACCAACAAAAATATATATTCCCGTGCTCCTTGCAAGCACTAGACGTCGACAACGGTTCGCGTCAACTCCATCGAGCATTACACACCACTGCCAGTCGATATATGCACACGTTCTTGGAAAGCGATCGAGGTCATGCCGGTGGCAGTGTCGGAGTGAGCCAGGAGTTTAGCATTATATTCTCGAAGGCCAAGGATCAGCCGTGGTCCTAGCACGAACATCTGCACCACTGAGATAATCAGATTCAAGCTCAACAAAGTCTGTTGTTGTAGGAGATCTAGGTTCTATAGAAATGATAGATCGTGGTCACTTGTAGAGGTAAGTGAAAGATTGACATACCGTTGATAATTCCATAAGGAGCTCTAAGCAAGAGACAGCAATAAAGCTATCATGTCCGACCCTTCAGTGGAAAAAAAGGACAATAATCAGAATATGAACTTACCTCGTAAAGTAAACCACGTGAGTTTTCATCAACACCGTAAAACAGTCCCCAATAATCCCTCCTGCCGAGTGTAATCGCAGTTCACGGAAGTGTTTCACAGTAATCCAGACTGCGAGACATAGTGCGAGGACCTCCCACACAATGTAGAGTACCCAAGTAGTAGAATCCATAACTAGGGCGTCTCCTGTATAGTAGTTAATCCTGCACTCGTAGGTGCCGGAGAGAATGAGTTCATCTGGTGTCCATCAATGAGCCTTATGTACGTTCGTTTTCATAATTAAGCGTACCTCCTGAAGTATGTGTCGTTGACATTACGGCTGTCGCTCCAGCAAAAATGTTGATCGCCAGGAAGGTGACAACGAGAAATATCAGGATCTTTCTGTCTCGTTGATACATGGCATGCAACCGAGTGATGATGATGACTTGCAGCATGTTTCAGTCACTCCAATATCACTGAAGTCTCGTAAGTGCAAAACTCACCCCACAGCATCGCAAATACCACAGCAACTGCCCAATCCCATATAATGTACAGCATCCAGCCTGACAAATCCGATCAGTGACCAGCCTCAGGTAGCACACACTCCAAACAGACTCACATCTTCGGTAGTATAGCGTGGCAGCAATTAGTGGACTGAGAAGTCAGCAAAAAACCACACCCACTGCTACAGAACACCGCGGTTAATTTGAGGGGAATGGCAGGCATTTATTCAGAAGACTCACTGTATCTGTCAGCGAGATGGTCGGAACACCGCCTGAATACCGTTGGTCAGAAGAAGAGAAGACAGTAGATGTACTAAGGAGACATACTCAGGGTAACAAGGCTGATTATGAGAAACAGACGATTAGCACAACACCGAATCTTTAGCCTTCCGAACTTACACAGCAGATAGGATTCCAAGGTAGCGCACCTAGGATACTTTCAAGTCAGCACATGGCAACTACGACAAACAAGCTACATACACAGATATACATCACTGTCATGAGCGACCAGGGTTGTCTCTGTGATTAAGTGTATTTTCATGTATGTTCCTCTGACATGAGACTGTACTCACCCAGACCAATTCGACCTACAAAAGGATTATTAGCAAGACGGGTTCCGGTGATAGTATTGACATACCTCTTGTCCAAATGTTAGTGCTGAAAATACTTGTAAGATATCGATATCAGCAGTCCTTTGATGTTATCATGCTCACCCCAATCATATGTTACTGCAACGAAGGCGGCAACTGCAAAACCATAGCCAAGGTCAGATCAGTGAGACATCAGCTTCAAGAATCAACATCCGACTGTTCTACGAACCTGCAAAATAGCTGCAAAAACGATACGCACTGATGGTCGGCCACCAAGTGGGATCATTTGAGATTGTTGACATATTGGTAGAGAATAGATGTGGGTGAGAGGTGAACGTTTGAACTTGGTAAACGTAGCGGTGACATCCACGCTAGATGTATGTATACCACCATCCGTGCTCACTATTGTTTGTTAGCCGAGATATCAATAAAATCACCAATAGAGTTGCGGTTCTTGTATTCCTGATATAGAAAACAATTGATGTCCCTGGAAACTCCGTCTGTTAGCTAGTTTCACAAGAGGTGAGGTGACTGATCATCGATCAGTACTAGTACTGAGTACTGATTCATCGCCACAGCCTCATGGCCAGAAATCATGAATCTTAATCAGTACTTCGTGTTACAAAATGTGTTCACATTTGGTGCCAATACTGCTTCTGCCAAAGATGGAATCTATGTGCTATCGATCGTCGCGTCCACACCTCAGAACAAAGCCGTGCTCAATTCTAAAACATCAAGTTCAGTTCGTTTCATTTGACGTTATTTATGCAGTAAACAGTTTCATTTCGGTTCCGTACATTAGTTCCGAGGCCGGAAAAAGGATCTGTCTCCCGGTCAAACATACTTATAGCGCTGGTGATGCTATGTCATGGTTAAGCCGGTTAAGTCCCACCGTGTTTCGGTCCTTCGGAGGTGACGCGATCACGTGCATGTGGTCACCTTTAATGTGTCCCGGATGAGAGTCTTGTCTTACTGTTCTTAACTTCTTCTACATACTCAAGTACTCATCGACGACTCACTGCAAACATCTATCAATTAAAACATGGCCGATATTACAGACGATTGGATTGTCGCTGACAGTGAAGACGAAGATACTTTACGACCTCTTTAAATTGCTGACCAAAGCGGCCTCTTGAGCGGAACCCCGTTTTCCACAGTCCCGGAAAACATACTACAGCGTTAGGAATTCATCACGCTTCATGTCCTATACCACATGCTAACTGGACACGGATTTGCAGCGTCGACAATTCAGACTGCTTCATTTATTATCAGTCAAGCACAGACTCCCCAGCGAGGACGCGAACCTCTCGACACAAGCAATGTATCTCTGTTTACACCACCTCCAGGGTACCGAGACTCTGAACCACCAAATCCTTCTCCGTTACTTCCTCGTGGCGCGGGAACACCTGTACCGAAGTCTAAACCGCGCCCACGTCCTGTGCCGCGAAAGTCTCGAACTACGAGTACCATATATGACGACTTCATCAAAGACGATGAACTTCGTTCCTCTGGTTCACTCATTGACTCTGCATCTGCAATTCCAGCCAGTACCTTGGCTGCAGACAGCATACGCCCTCCAACCACACCATCTGCGGTTTCAGATCTCATCGGGGAAGTCGATCCTGTGTTTAGCATTGCCGACCGGGCCAAGACGCGCACTCGGAAGACTCAGGTCAAGAAGCCGACTTACGTGCCCGTCAACCATGATGTGATAGAGTTAACATCCGACTCCGACCTCGACGAACTATCACTCAAGCCTCCACGGAAGCGGCAGAAATCCCAAGACAAGCCCGTCAAGCCCAAGCCGAGACCCAGGCCTAAACCGAAGCCTAAAGCTATTACATTGCCTCCACTCAAGGTTCCTGAAGAAAGCATCGTCGATACCCAGCCGAGCAACGTTGTCGTTCTTCTGACACCGCAAGAGCCAGCGCTTCCGTCTCAATCATCGTTTACAACATCACGCTTCCCGTCTTCTATTCCTGCTTTATCCGATGTGTCTTCTCCGCCCTCTTCTCCACCCAAGATAACTCGTAAACGGAAGAAGGTTTCCCCGCTTCAGTCAGAGGTTCATGGCGAAGAGATGGATGTAGACGTCCCCGATACTTCGTCGTCCCAGACATCGACAATTCGCACACACTTGAAGACGAAAACGGGGACGCAGACATCGTTGCTGCGAGCAAGGGTAAGAAAAAGGACACAAAGTTGTCTTCTCGGGCGAAGGGAAAGACAAAAGGTCGGAAGCAGGCTGACAGAGTCGAACCCGACGATCTTGCACACGAATCCCCCACGGATGAGCTAGCTGCAGGTAATAATTGCCTCGAAGACGACAATTTCGTTGAGGAAGAGGAACCGAAAGTTACATCGAAGAAGGCACTATCGAAACCCACCTCCGCTGCAAAATCGAAATTGAAATCCAAGGCAAAAGGCAGAGGGAAAGCAGTTCTCTCGGAAAGTGAAAATGAGGACGGCAACGACGACCCTCGTTCGAGGTCACCTAACCCAAGTAGGCATTTACCCGAGGACGAAGACTCGAGACGACGGTTCCAAGAATTCTGAAACCATTGTAATTCCTGAGGTAACCAAGGCACTACATCTCCATACTCTTTGATGTCCTTACTTACATTCTACCTAGAAGATTTGATTATTCATTGAACACCGTCGGCCCACCTTCACCTGCCAGACGCGTCTCCTTCGCTTTTTGGAATGCTTAAATTAACCGAAGCAATGTTGAAATACGTGAGGAGGATGTCGAGGGCCTTGCCGCATGATAAACAAAGCCCGCAATCACCACTCCGCCTATCTAGTGGTCTGTATCAGACGTCCATAACTCATTCATGTACTACACCATGCCATCATTCAATTTCGACGTTCAACCTCCCATTCTTGACTCACGCCAACTGGCTTACACGCGCGCACTACTGTCCGTGCCTGGGCTCATGAAGCCTGAAAAAGCATGATACCTATATATGCTACAAGACGGCCACACCATATTACGAAAGTCAATATCCCATAGTGCTTCCGATACGACGAGAGGTGGGTCACGAGTTGTCCTCGAAGATGAGAAGCGGGAGCAAATAGAAACTTGCATCTAACGTTCTGGTGACATCGCCTATAAACATCTCTTGCTCCTCGACTTTCCCGTTCTGTACACTGCTTTCCTTCGTTGGTACAGCAGAGATATCCAGGACATTAGTTGAAACCTTGTCAATGTCAAGACCTATAACAAATGATTCGAATAAATACTGCAATGAAAATATTGCCTAAACCTATGTCTCCTTGACATGACACTAAATAACTACTTGAGCACCGCAACGAGGCTTGGAATAGAAACAAAAAACAAATTTCCCGTGCTCCCTGCAAGCACTAGACAACGCGATTCGCATCAACTTCACCACACATTACACACCACTGCTAGTCGATATATGCACACGTTCTTGGAAAGCAATGGAGGTCATGCGGGATGCTGCGTCGGAGTCAGCCACTAGCTTAGCATTATATTCTCGGATGCCAAGGATCAGGCGTGGTCCCAGCACAAACATCTGCACCACTGAGAAAATCTGAACCAAGCCGAAAAAAGTCTGACTTTCTACGAGATTTTGGTCCTATAAAAATGATGAATCGTGGTTGCATGCAGAGTTAAGTGAAAAATTAACATACCATTAATAATGTTGGAGAGAAATCAAGGATGAGCTCGAAGCAAGAAACAGCAAGAAAGCTATCATGTTCTACCCTTCAGTGGAAAAGAGGACAATAATCACAATATGAACTTACCTCGCAAAGTAAACCACGTGAGTTTTCATCAACACCGTAAAACAGTCACCCATAATCCCTCCTGCCGAATGTAATCGCAGTTCACAGAAGTGTTTTACCGCAATCCAGACTGCGAGACATAGTGCGAGGACCTCCCACACAATGGTGAATATCCAAGCAACAGAATCCAGAACTAGGGTATGTCCTGTATAGCTAATCCTGCACTGGTAGGTGCCGGAGAGAATGAGTTCCTCTGGTATCCATCAATGAGCCCTATGCACGTTCGTTTCATCCATAATTAAGCGTACCTGCTGAAGTATACATCGTTGTCATTACGGCGTTCACTCCATCAAAAGTGTTGATCGCCAGGAAGGTGACAACGAGAGATATCAGGATCTTTCTGTCTCGTTGATACATGGCATGCAACCGAGTGATGATGATCACTTGCAGGATATCTCAGTCATTCCAATATCACTGAGGTCTCGCAAGTGAAAAGCTCACCCCACAGCATCGCAAATACCACAACAGCCATCCAATCCCATATGATGTAATCCAGCCTCACAAATCCAATCAGTGACCAGTCTCAGGTAGGACACACTCCAAACAGACTCACATCTTTGATAGTATAGCGTGGCAGCCATTAGTAGGACTGAGAAGTCAGCAAATAACCACACTTACCTGCTACATAACACCAGCGGTTAATTCGAGGGGAATGGCAGGCATTTATACAGAAGACTCACTGTATCTGTCAGCTGAGATGGTCGGAACACTTGCCTGAATGACGTTGGTCAGAAGAAGAGAAGCCATGTGAATGTACTAAGGAGACAGTACCGAACCATGTACAGACTGATTATAAGAGATAGACGATTAGCACAACATCAAATATTTAGTCTTCCGAACATACACAGCAGATAGGATTCCAAGGTAGCGCACCTAGGATACATTCAAGTCAGCACAAAAAACTACGACAAACAAGCTACATACACTGAGATACATCACTGTCATGAGCGACCAGCAGTTGTCTCTGTAATTAAGTGTACTTTCATGTATGTTCCTTCTGACATGAGACTGTACTCACCCAGATCAATTCGACCTACAAAAGGATTATTAGCAAGACGGGTTCCGGTGATAGTATTGACATACCTCTTGCCCAAATGTTAGTGCTGAAAAACACTTGTAAGATATCAGCAATCCTTTAATGTTATCATGCTCACCCCAATCATATGTTACTCCAACGAAGGCGGCAACTGCAAACCGCAGCCAAGATCAGATTGAGACATCAGCTTCGACATCCGACTGCTCTCCACGAACCTGCAAAATAGCTGCAAACACGATACGCACTGATGGCTGGCCACCAAGTGGGATCATTGGAGACTATGATCATATTGGTAGAGAATGGGTGTGGATGAGAGATGAACTTGGTAGACGTATGGTGATAGCATATAACCACCATCCAGCGCTTGGATTGCCAAAATGAGGTTGAAAGATAATGATCATCCCTGCCTTGGTCGACCAAAGATCCAGGAACTCAACGTAAATGTTGAACATGAAACATTTCGACAAGCGGAACCCTTCACATAACATCGTAAAAGTTAGCAAATTGTATCGGCAATGCTGCCAAGACCATAAACCATGACAAATACAGTGTACTACCCGGTACCTATTCACATTTGTCGAGTTCAGGACTGTACACATAATCTGAGAAAATCCAAGTACGTAGTATTATTGTTAGGCATCTAAATAGACACTTCCTCCGCAACATTTGTTTATTCTCGCAATGTTGAACACGCTGAATGACTTAAAACATGCAGTAGGTTTCCCAATGTGACAGCGTGTGACTAACCGTCGTTTTGCAACACTGGCCAAGACTGTCGTCCGCTCAACCGTGTTGGATGTTAGTACAAACCAAGAGGTGCGTGTTCGCAAAATCCCGAACATAGGGCTCAACTTTACATAAGCGAAAAATCTTAAATCACAGCCACCTGAAGCTTCATGAGTGCCATTTCTAAGCTTCTTAATACTGACTTCAAATCTATTGTTTGTTGTATACTGGAAGGGGGGTGTTTGTACTACACAAGAACATGTTTAGATAGTCTGTTCAATTGAAAATGTGTGTCGCTAAATCAGTCAAGACTAGACTGACTAGTGCCTCTGAAGTCCGGTTTGGTCAGGTTCATGGCCCTATATCTGTGAACCCTGAACTTGACCATTGGTCAGGTCCAGGTATGGTGGCCAAACCTTGGACCAGACGCCTTTGAACACATTCAGAAGGGTTCAGTTCAGGTTCAGAACATGTTCGAACTCTTGAACCATTGTTTGAATTACAAAAAAATCTTAAAATTAACAAAAAAATGAGAACAAAACTTGCTAGTACAAATAACTACTAAAACTCTTCCTTGACAACAATGCAGTTATTATAAGGAGCGGTGTAAAGAGTTGATTCTATGTGGGCGCTACAAAAGATGTTACCTTAAGACTCAGAGTGCGAGTGAGATGTTCATCCCAAAGAGACTGCCTATAGAAATGCTCCTTGATATAAAGCAAGGGATATTTTGTTAAGATAGAAGTGAGAGAAGGAAAGTTACCAAGAGTGCACTCGGTGTTCCAAGGATGTGTCTGAAGTACCGAAGTACTCGTCCAAAGTGGTCCGAAGGTGGTCCGACATCAAGAAATGAAGGTCCGGAGTTGCGCGAAGCGTCCGAAGAGTTTCCAATGAACAGCGATGGTTCTGAGGTAGAAGTATGGTGTGTATGTCGAAGTGTAAGACTTGCAAAGTAAAACTAAGCAAAGCCTGTCAGGAAAACTAAGAGATAGCGAGATGCGAAATGGCAGCGGTCAGGCCAAACAATTGTTCTGAATGAACAAGAAAGATCGATTGCGCGAAGTACGACTATCTGAAAGTGACTCTACTGACTATGACTCGTAGCAGGGAAAGTGAAGTCAAGTGTGAGTAGCTAGCGAGGCAGATTATATCCTACAGTGTGAAAGTCCGGAAACTGCGTAGGCGAAATCAGTAGCGAGATAAGACATCCGAAATGTAATAAGACTCAAGGCGAGCCACTACAGAGATATGCATGTAATAAGGTGCAAGGCATGTTGTTATATGTGTAACCGACGGGCCGACAACATATGTGCCCCTAGACCTAATCAATAACAGATAACCAAGTGAAAAACGCACCAGCGAAGTCAAACGGACATGGACGGGACATGGTATGGAGGATCAGAACTGTATACAGGCCTTGGAATTGGATGGACAACCTTTGGACAACTCGGACGAATGCACGGAACTCTCGGAAGGTAGATGGAGTGTCGAGGAATGTGTATGTGGAATACCTATGAGTTTGGCAGGATACGAGCCCAACGCCGATCCGAGTGCTACAGCGGCAAACTCAGCCTGGGATGTTGCAGAAATGTGGCCTTGACGGTATGCACTCTTGAGCAACTGGAGAGCCTCAAATGTTGCTGGCTGCAAACAGCTGCAATGTGTGGTCCCAGTAATGCTGCTGCTTGAAAATGCATGCTCAGATGCAACAGTGGATCCCTGGATGGCAAGGTAATCCTTCGTGATGCAGGAGATGGTTGGGTACTGGATAGAATGGTGCTTGAAAAGTTTTTTGATGGTATTAGTATGCAAGCAACATAAATCAAACAATAAGATGTACCCCCCACCAGCCCACTATGTTGTTGACATCCTCAAGTGGTGCATCTAGGTAGTCCTCAACTTCTTGACGAGGCCTTTGTGTGGTTGTGTCATTCACGACACATGATTTGACAGAGTTGTGCATCCAACTATGGCCATACAATCCTTGGCGAGTGAGTGAAGATGGCACGGTGGCAGATGGCTCTGCAGGAGCCTGTGAGACAGTACTGCAATGATGATATATATCAAACTATGTAAGATTAGTATACCATTGAGGTGCATGATGACAAGCGACATACCACTCTCTCAAGGGATTGCATCCCTGTTTCAAAAAAATGAGGGGCCCATTTGTCTTTGGCATATGCGACCTTGTAGTTGGGGTTGAGCGCTACATCAAAAAGGTCAGTGTCATTCAGAGGCATTAAAATAAATATGATACATACCAAGACAAATAAAATAGATGTCTGTGTCATCAGTCTTACCATACCACTTGCTGAGATTAACGACACCAGCTTCAATGGCTGTTGAGAAGTGGCTGAATTTTGAGGAGTTGGCCAGATTTTGCAACGTCTCTTGAAGATATTCGAGCACCAGAATAGTTCACCATACAGTTGGTTCATGAGTTGCCGAGAAACTCTGCTGAGCATCTGCAGGTTCCTGTATGCGCAGCACATAAGCATGCTTAAATGTAAAAGATGGAGGGAAATGACAAACCTGAAGGACTTCACGTGTTATGACACAAGGTCGTGTGCAACTTGGATAGTTCTAACAGCGACAACCACAACAGTGGTACCAAGTGCTGAGAGTTGTCAGCCTCTACAGAAGAGCAGAGGTTGCATACTCAAATATAGCTTGCTTAGGAAGCAAGGGATTACACAGAGATAATAGCGATACAGACAGAGAGAGGCATCTCTGAAGGTGCAAGGTCAATGTTGAGCAAGTAGCTTTAGCAAGACAAGGAGTTCAAGGGAAAACCAAGTAGGATTAAAGTAAGGAACATCTACTGTAATCCTCAACCTTATATAAGGCTACTCTATTGTAACTAAGCTCAGCTTGAAGCTGGGTTCTAATCTGCTTATATATAGCATCCATGAGGTAGGCTTCTATCTAAGATAGGATCCACAAGGTATCCTTCTATCAGTACATGAGGCAACACGAGGCTTGCCTTCTATCTTGATATCATAAATAGGTCTTCTAGACCTATGTCGTCATATGCGGTCCAGACCGCTTATCTAAGCTGGCAGTTGCTGCTTCTCTTCATCTATCTTCTATCATCTATCATCATAGGGCTGGTGAGACCCTAGTATCGTCTATAGCCGTGCAAGGTGGCAGAGGGCAGGGGTGGCAGAGGGGACTCGTGTAGTGTGTTGTAACATCACACATCAACTCCAGCTCCCCCCATTCTTGTGCTGAAAGCCTGAAATAAGCATACAATTTGTCCTTCAACTTCGGGATCTCATCACTGTCATCGGCGAGCTGGATGAATCTGTTCACTCCCTGACAAATCAAGTCAGTGATGTATTCATGTAGTCAGTAGTAGATGACTTACTTTGCACAATTGAAAAATGTGCTTCAGCATACTAAAAAGAGAGGCCCAACATGTATGGATCCATCTCAAAAGCTCCAATGAGGGCTTGTTCACCTCAGTGCAGCACTTTTGAAGGAAGATGTGAGCTTGAGGAGACTTCCGTACCTAAACAAAAGCATCATGTCAGTATACAATAGCAGATAGATGATTTAATAACTTACCTGCATGACAAATGCAAGCACTTTGCTGACAGTGTCACTGACTTCGAATTTAACACTTTCCTCATCCTCGTCATCTTCAGCCTGAGCCTGAGCCACCTCCTCGACGAAATGTTTTGCTGCTAAGTGGAGTACATGCTCCATACAACTGAATACTTGTCACTTGTCACTCATAACAGTCATCTTGAAGTCACAAGATATTGCATGATTGTGCATTATAAGACCGCATTGTTTGCAGCAGTCCTGATAAACTGGAAAATGGCACTTGGGATTGTGTGCGATGTGTGTTCGTTGAGTTAAGATACCACCCTTGAAAAAGCACTGGTGTAGTGCGATGTTGTTGGCCTTGCATACCTCACACCACCACCAATTTTCATGCTTCTGGGTATGGGGGTTGACATGACCTTTCTCAAAAGTAAAGACCATAGTCAAGTCAGTGCTATGTTTATCCTTCTTGAGAGATTTACAGTCTTCATGATCCTGGTCACCAAGCTCTTTTGTTCTCTGGTAAGCCTCCTCATTCTTGTTCTCTTCTTCATCATCCATGAAATCCTCCAGTGGTGGGGCTTCTTCATTGGTGTCCTCATCCTCATCCTCTTGGCTGCCAGTACCAGTGAATGCTTGCTTGGGTGCAGGGGCACCCCAAGGAGGTCCTGGAGCTGATTGTTTGGCTGAATTACTGCTGGCAGTCTCATGAACCTTCTCTGTAGGTTTGACAGCATGACCTGAATGACATATGAAAGAGCTAAGAGTGCCATTGTGTATAGGAGGGGAAGGGGGAGGGGGAGGGGGAGGAAGCATTGGAGAGTCATTGTCGGCATCATTGTACTAATTGATCTCGCTAGCGTCTTTCAGTGAACCGTCAATGCAATGTGCGAAGGACATGGTGGCAGTGGTAGCAGAGAGTGAAAATGTCCAACTTATACAACAAGTAAGTATATTTTAACTAAATTCAAAATGATTGTGCACCATAAAGCCCCAAAACACAAACATTCCATACCAGAAAATGCCGGAGTGTAAATGAATGCCAGAACAGCAGTGTGGTGAATCAAAAGTGTGGACAGTATGTCCTGAAATAAATGACATTAGAAGTTAGCAACAGTCAATTGTGACAAACAGAGAACTTGTTGTGAACGTACCGGCACCTTGATAAGTAGCATTGCTGAAGAGACCAAGAGAAGAATGCGGATGAGGGCAATGTAGTTACTGCAAGTAGGCTAGAAGGGGGGGAAGACAGTAAACCAATGGGCAAGCATGCTACTTAAACAGAAAACCTTACCAAAAACATGAGGCTTCATTGTTGGTTTGAGAATCTAAGTTGGATAAAAATACATCAGGTTCAAACCGGTCCGGATGTGTCTGGACTGGTTTACGTGCTCTAGGAAAATACCGAACTTCGAACCTATTAGGGGGTTTGGTCCAGCAGCAATACTGGACCTGTGACTAAACAAATGGTCCAGTCTGCAAAGGTTTGAGTTTGAACCTAGGTTTGGGACTGGACTTTGGAGGCACTACCAGCTTCATTCTCCCACTGCACCATGCCCTCATCCACAAGAAGGAAATCTTTGTACTCATCTAGCAAAGCTTCCTCAACAATACCTGAGTTTGCTTGAGCAGAGTCAGCAAGAGACTTGGGCCATGAGAATTTGAGCATCTGTAATTGTTCAAAGCGTTCAGCACCGAGATGAGAGCAATGGTCAGTGGCGGTCCTCGCACCACCTGAAAAAAGTCATTTGCAGGATACAGATGATGCAGGAATTGCACAGATGTCCATAGCGAGGAGCAATCCTAACCAGTCCTATGCAGTTATGGACTGGTTGCATCTGCAACCGACTGTGAACCTCATTGCTACTGCGCTTGACCGGTTTCCAAGAGTTCAGTCCAGGTTGCAGTACAAGGTTGAGTTTGCACAGACCGGTTTGGGTCCGGTGTAGAGATACAACTATTGCTGGACACTACATGAAGTAAGTAGCCAGCAATATAAAAATGTGTTGTGGTCGTGCACAGCCTAGTCTGCTATACTTGCAAGACAAGTGCGTTCGACCCGAGGGGTTTGCTGTAAGGTATTAGAACAATTAGTTATATGAAAAGGAAGATAGTCCAAAGCACAGGAAACAAAGTCCAAAGGTATAATTACGGTGTAGAGACTCATGCCTCTCATTGTGCAATATGGCAGTTTTCACTGGGGAGTACATGGCACGAACTTGTAGCATCACTCTGTGTGCTACCTGCAGCTATCTCTATATGAGGCGCAGCTTTCCCGTGCAACGCGCGCCATGCGCGCGTACCTTTCCTGCGCTTCACGATGTATATGCGCGCGCGCTTTCCCGCGCTGTAGCGCCCTATAGCGCCAGCCATCCAGAAGCATCCATCCACTGTCCACCAAGTTCCCTAGTGCGTATATTTCCATTTCTCACATTTGCATATCGTTCCATCTTTATTTTTATCATGGACCCTTACTTACATATATCTTTACATACCTTACTCGGTAGCGCTTCGGCTCCGCATGACAGCGCTTAGGCGCCATACTTAAGCGCCAGCAGTACATACTTACTTAAGAACTTACTCTCCCACCAGAACGACAGAGGACTTACTGGTTACTACCCACTATTCACCTAGCAGAACATAGTAGAAATCTATTTGTTTACACCTCGCATCTCTCTTCTCTTGTCTTACATCATATCATCACTTAAGCAAACTCACTCTTTCTCTCTCTCGTATCTGTATACACGCGCATGCTTTCCCGCGCTTCGCGCCATACACGCGCGCATTCCCGCGCCTTGCGCGCACCTGCGCTTTCTCGCGCTTCGCATTGGCCAACCAGTAGCGCTTTCAGCGCATACCTCTAGATCCTTGCTGCACTCGCTTCCCCTTTAGGGTCGAACGCACTTGTCGTCTCAAGTATAGCAGACTAGGCAATGCGCGACCTTACAACATTTATAGATACAGTCAGGAGCATTGTTCGTGCCTCGCTGTATCATTGAATCTTCAACGGGTCCGATGTTTTCGGGTTTCGGGTTAGCGGGTTTGCATCGGGTTAGCATCGGGTTTGCATTGGGAATATAGCGAATGTTGGGGATAGCGAATGGTGGGTTACTGTCTGATGTTTCAGATAAAGAAAGGATGATATTGCAGAATCCAACTAAGAACTATGAATATCAGATGACCTCCTCCTACTCAGAGGTAGAAAGGTAAAGTAAATAGGTAGGAGGTATGCGAAATATATAGTGTCTATGTAGAATTTCGGAGTGCTATAGGCGAAAGTAGTAGCGCTGATTTTCGGGTCTGATGTCCTATGTAATAAGACACGATGTACTGCGGACATGTAATAATGCGTTCTACAGTGTTAGCGACGTGAAAACTGATAACTGCGCACCTAGTGGGGATAGATATGACAGGACAAGACATAGGGAGGACAAGTGTGTGGGAAAACATTGGGTCCATCGGATTAGCATTGGGTTTAGCGGATAAACATTGGATTGAGCGGATGAGTGTCGGATAACATTGGAAGTGATTCATGTGTTTGACATGCATGGGAAAATAGCTGAATACGAGCCTAGCACGAGCTCAAGTGCTACATCGATCTCAGAGAGATTTGGCAGGCAAAGCACAGAGTTTCAATTTAGCAGGTGCCAGTCGTGCCAGTCGAAGTAATAGTGCTACATAGTTACTATCAACTATCAATCACTCAGAAAATTTTGTTTGTGCATGCTGCATAGAGTACCGCATCTTTCTTGCTTTTGTGCTGCATCACTAAAATTAAAATAGGATACTTCAAATGATACCATTTGCTCCATATTATACTCCCCCACTGCAGTATGCCCTGCCGCCTGAATCTTTAGCATGGACAGTGGACCCTCGCAGCCTCAGCAAGGAGGAAAATATTATCTCCTTGCTAAAATACTCTGTAGCATGCAGATGATGGTCGTGGACCTCCTGTTATACACCATCTCAGAAAATCAAACAACAGCTCAGTGCTATTTTGGGACAATATGCTATTGTGCTAGTTACTGACAAGGTTTGCACCGAGATGGAGAACCAATGTTGAAACTCATGGTCATAACATAGAGATGTAGCAAAACAGTATAGTACAATGTCTGGATGCAACGACACCCAGCACAACCGGTGTCTTGTTACTTAAGGGTCTTATATGAAAGTTGTGTATATATGTTCTGTGTTCTGGATAATTTGTTAGGTTTGTTTCAGCCTAGTAGGTCGTGTTTCAACCTATGAAAGTCTGTTTCAACTTTGTCGTCCTTAGATTTGTGTCTCACTTTCCATTGAAAGAGAGAGTCTTATGTATACACGTAAAGCTTAGAATGAGAGCTGTTCAGTAGTTATATAGTCAACCCCTGTAAGGTAGTATATAACCTAGAGTAAAATAATGATAACAAAAGTTATATAGTCAAACCCCTGTAAGGTAGTATATAACTTAGAGTAGATATTGATATCTTAGATGTTACCTCAAGGCACTTATGTTGGCCTGCACTTTGATTCTTAGTGATCTCACACGGTTTGAGACAAGAGTCAAGTGGGAGGATTGTTATTTCATGGAGAAAATGGGGTCCTTTTATACCTTTTGGGAACCCCCTTACTAAGCATGATTTATCAGATGGATTGGTAAGAATGTGGCTTACAAACCAGGTGATGAATCAGCTTATTACTAAGTACATTACAAATACAGTGTAATCTTACAAAGAATTTACAAAGCATGACAAATCATGACAAAACATGATGAGTCATGTGAATATTGTTACAAATCAGATTATTTCCCAGTCACATGATGTGCTGACAAACAAATCTGGTGGCTGAAAGAAGCCAAATAAAAATAAACAGTCAGAAATAAATAGAGAGATACAAAATTTTAACAAACAAATCTGTGGCTGAAAGAGGTCAAATAAAAATAAACAATGAGAAATAAACAGAAGGTCACATGTTCATAAAATTACAAGATAAAGCAAGTCTGAAAAGTGAGAAATAAAATATAAGACAATGAATCAAAGGAAAAATAGAGAGGTAACTCAGTGATAGAGGGCTAGACAGTCTCTCATACCTTCCTTATCACTCTCTATATATAACTGACATGGTATGAATCACATACCATGCATGACACCGGCACCTGCTAAAATTTGAACTCCATGCTTCACCTGCCAAATTTCTCCGAGATCAACCAGTCAAGGCTTTGGACGGAGAAGTGGGACAGGGGAGGACAAGGCCTCTTGTTGGGGAAGTTACAGATGTTGACTTTGACATTATTGAAGAAGATGTGTGATTAGGTAATTCATACAGACACATATATATTATCAAGCATAGTCCATGCACTTGGAACATGACAGTAAGATTGACTCATAAAAAATAGCAACCATTTTTTGTCCCGACGGACAGTGTGCTGCAGGCATATGGATATATAAATATTATGGTGTAATACTGTGAAAAAAAACTATAAGAACCACAAGCCCATCCTCACTTGTCCATCCTCACTTACTATGTCAAGTACCCCTCCAAGTCAGTCTGACACAGGCGATATTCACAATCTGCATCAGTATCCTCATCAGTATCCACAGCTGCCAGCATATCATCAGCAACCTTTCATACAACATTATCCACAAATGCTGCACGTACTGCAGCACTATCTGCCACCTTGGCAGCATCAGTATTATCCACCACACTTCATTCACACTGGCCAGCCTCCGTACCAACAGTATCTTCCAATGCGACCAGTGAGGACGCAACCAGAAGTTCCAGCTCCAGAGTACCCTCCAACCCCAGAACTGTCCTGGGCATCATCAAAAGCCCCAGTGTCGTCCTAAGTATCAGTGAGACTGCGACCAAATCCTGAACTGCACTGTAGAGATACAACAATTGCTGGGCACTACACGAAGCAAGTAACCAGCAATATAAAAATGTGTTGTGGTCATGCACAGCCTAGTCTGCTTTACTTGCAAGACAAGTGCATTTGACCTGAGGGGTTAGCTATTTGGAATGGTCTGTAGTTAGTGAAATGATAAAACGGTCAAAAGTTCGAGTGCAGGAAACAAAGTCCGAAGGTATATCTACGATGTCCGATGCCAAAGTGTCGGGTCTGATGTTTTTGGGTTTTGGGTTAGCAGGTTTTGGGTGCAGGTTCAGCGGTTTATTGGGGATGGCGATAAAGAGTGTCGGGAAAGCGAGCAGTATGCGGATAAACAATAATGACAGGTATTTCAGATAGAAAGAGCGGTAATATTCGCAATGTCAACTAAGAACTACAAAATATCGTGTTTGACCACTAAGTATTGGGAAACGGCTCCCTACTACTTGGATAATGAAAATACTTGTAGTCAGTCCAATATATATGTAAGTACGTAGAAATCCAGAACCCTATAGGTGAAAGTAGTGGCTGACGATTTTCGGACCCAAAGTACATGTAAACAAACATGAGGTACTGCAGACGATGGGAAAACATGTAATAGCGCTGGCTACAACGTGAGTAATGTGCGAAATAATCAACTACACACCTAGTGGGGCTAGCAAGACGGGACAGGACATGGATAGGACAAGTGCACAGGAAAATATCAGGTCTGATGTGGCCGAAACATCGGGTCCACTAGTCTTTGCGTCGGATTTGCATCGGGTTGTGCGGGTTACATTGGAAAGTGACGGGCATTGAACATGTATCAGGAAATCAGTGAATACGAGCCTAGCGTGAGCTCGAGTGCTACAGTGCCCTGGAGTTTTTAGTTTCAACATTGACATTATTACAGGTGACATGAAGCGCAGATTTCATGGCAAGACTGACATGCCTTGGGATAACTTCAAAAGTCACATTCTTGCATACCTCGATGCTCCTGAAGAAGTCCAGCTTGTGTATAAGTTCATGGGTGATAACGGTAAAGCTTCTCACCTAAATGATGCAGAAGCATTCAGTATCGCTATGGATTGACTTTGTCACAAAGTGTCCAATGCGCGTACATGAGTTGTTGCTTTAGAGGTAAAGAATGCAGCAGTAAGTGATTATTCGTGTCTCATCAATTGAAAATTACTTACAGTTACTCCAAGGCCAAACAGACTACCACCAAAGCGAAAAAGAGGACACATGAAGACGATATTCCCCCAGTGATTGAGGAGGATTCCACACAGCTCAAAGTGTACAAACAGCTTGAGTGCCACATTTGATGTGAACTTCACCGTGGCCATTGTTTCATAGATCACACCAGTGGCTATGATGACCATCATCGTCTTGATTACACTGTAAAGAGTTGATTCTGTGTAGGTGCTACAAATGTTGTTACCTTTGAACTCAATGTGCAAGTGTGATTCATCCCAAAGAGACTGCCTATAGAACTATCTCTTGATATCAAATTGCAAGGGATATCTTGTTAAGATCGAAGATAAAAGAAGGAAAAGTCACCCAAGGTGCGTCCAATATTCTGAGGATGTGTCCAAAGTACCTCAGTACTTGTCTGATATGAACGAAGGTCATCCAAAGTCAAGAATCAAAGGTCTGAGGTTGCACAAAGCATCCAAAGAGCTTCTGCTGAACAGCGAAGGTTCTGAGAGAGAAATACGGTGGGTATGTCAAAGTATAAGACTTGCAAAGTACAACTAAGCAAAGTCTATCAGAAGAACTCAGAGACGGCGAGATGCGAAATGGCAGTGGTCAAGCCAAACAATCGTTCCAAATGAACAAAAGGATTGATTGTGTGAAGTATGACTATCCGAAAGTGACTCTACTAACTATGACTCATAACAAGCGAAGTGAAGTGGAGTGCGAGTAACTAGTGAGCCAGATTATATCCTACAGCATGAAGGTCCAGAAACTGCATAGGCAAGAACAGTAGCGAGATAAGCTATCCGAAATATAATAAGACTTGAGGCGAGCTGCTACAGAGATATGTATGTAATAGTGCATGAGGCATGCAGCTATACATATTAATCAAGCTTTCTATGGGCCAATGATGTATGTGCCCCTGAGACATAATCAATAATAGATAAACAAAGTGAAAACGCACCAGCGAAGTCAAACAAACACGGACAGGACATGGTACGGAGGATCAAAAGTGTAAACAGGCCTCAGAAAGGGATGGACAACCTTCAGATGAATCAGGAGAACACGCAGAACCTTCAGAAGGTAAAAGGAATGTTGAGGAGTGCAATGTGAGATACCTGTGAGATTGGCAGGATATGTACCCAGCACCAACCCAAGTGCTACAATGCCAACTCTCTGGGCTAAAAAGATTGTAAGTTTCATGTCCATGCTTGCAGAAAAAAATAAAATACCCTTTAGGCTCTTGGTCATGCAATGATTACAACCTACCTCACTGCCTCAATTTCAACCATGGCCCAGCCAACAAAAAACCTCGTCACTCGAGGTTGGGATCATCACCTGAAGTCCATGTCACCATACAAAATATAACGGCCAATCCTACCATAGCTTCCACGTCCCAAATGCAGATCCCTACATCAAAGACTCCTAGTCCTCCACCACTTCTGCAACAGTGCCACTTCGAGTCTGCACCCCAGATCCCTAACACAACACTACCAGACTACCCAAAAATTGGGGTGTTGCTTGTGCTGATCAATGCCAAAAAAACCAGAACTGTGAATTCATGAGCTTGAAACATCCCTGCTAGATGCAGGGGTGGTTTTGTCGAGCCAAGTAATGCTTTTACCTGAGGATGTGTTGAGTGTCATTGGCGATATGGGGCAAAAGCAGGCCACAATCCTCCACAATTATGCTAAATGGATCATTCTGCTGCTCCTTGGACTTGTCAGTTTGTATGAGGAGCCAGAGATAGAGGAGCCAGAGGCACCTAGCTCAGGGACTCAGAATAAAGGGAAGGAGCATGCTATCGAGACTGTCAATCAGCGATACGAACTAACCACTTAGTAAAATAACACCACAGGTAGTTTCAACATGCCCACAAGGTACTTGCACAAAATCAATAAAAAGGGCAATCTCTATGCAATGTATTCACTATGCTTGTACCAGCCATGAGCCTTTTCACTTGTGACAATACTGTATACAGCTTCCAATATCAACATGTATGGATCACAAGCTGGACCCTCAGTTTCCCCAAGTAAATAGTCACGGTTTGACCAAAGCCATGCCTGTTACGCTGACCGTCGGTCAGCGTGTGCGAACTAGGATAGGTCTTCTCAGCGACGGCTCGAGTGAGCCTACTGAAGCTGAGGGTGGTTCTCGGCTTGACGGAATGTCAAGGATTCCTCCGGTGATCTCAGTAAGACGGCGCTCGTCAAGATACAGGGCTAGCGGATACGTGCTAAGTTGTATGGGGGTGACTTAGAAGTGTGGTCTTATGCAAGGAAGCTGGTAAGGCTTAGTTGAACAAGTTCTGGGATGAACCTAGTAGATTAAAGTAAAGTCTAAGTACAATAATCCTGTCTACTTATAGGGTTTTAGCTATAGGTATTCTAGCTCAGTCTGTAATCTATAGTATATCGAGGATCTATGATAACAAGACATGAGGTTCAGATAAGTACATGAGGCTTAACCTCTGATCAAGCATGCAGCGCCAAGTGCAACTGCGCATAAGTACATGAGGCGCCAAGGGCACTCCGGATCTTCATGAAGCGACATGTGGTATACATGCACTGATCTAGGGTGACCATGAGGCGCACAGCCTTCATGGATTAGGTACAAGGCCGTCTAGGCCAGGGGCGGGTCTTAGCGCCAGGGGCGGCGTCATAGCGGTCCAGACCGCTGTCTTTCTAAGTGCAGGCGGTGTTTCGCCGTGTTCAGAGTCTAGCAGGGCGGGGGCTGGCATAGGCAGAGCAGGGGCTCCAGTAGGTGTTACGGATGCCTGTAACATTACCCCGTTACTAAGGTTGAAGTCACCGACTTCAATTAATACTTCGTCCAATGTCTGGGAGGACGGTGCGGGTGTCGAGGGAGGTGCTGGCACAGGCGTCATGGGTATTGGCGTCACAGGCATAGGGGAAGGTGGAATGGGGAAGGCGAGCGCGAGGTCAGCGAGTGCCTTGTGGTTCTGCTCCCAGTCTAAGAGAGCTTCGAAAAACTTCTCTTCATCTGAAAACTCTTGGAGCACTAGGCGTCCTTTGAGTCCAGGGCAGTGGATTGATAGATGATCCGGTCCAATCTCGCTGCAGATGCAGCAGACGTAATCAGGACACTGTCTAAAAGTGTGCCCATATCCTCCGCAGCATCTACAAAGTGTGCGGGTACGATCCATCATGGCCGCTCTTTTCTTAGGTAGCAGGCGCACGGGTCTAATTTCTTCTTCGGCGCGAGGCTTTGACATGGCCTTCCTAACTGCGAGGTTTACGAGGTCAGGGAAGTCGAGCGGTAGGAGGTGAAGCACCATTGTGCGAATTCTTTTCTGAAGGTGGAGCACGGCGAGTGTCCTAGTACCTTCGTCTAGGTCTGTACAAAGTGCGGCGTCTTCTAGCAACTTCGTGGCCTTAATGATGTGCACGGCAAGGGAGGTGCCTGATGCAACGGTTGCGCTCATCTCACCGAGGATGTTGTCGATCTCTCAGGAGTACGCAGGGGTGGGGATGGCGGTTTCGCTGAACGCGCAATTCTCAATCATTCTGAGGATTCATCCGTAGTTGGAGTCCTTCAGAGTGACAATGGTAGGAGTTTTGGTAGGAGTGGTCATGATGTTGGGAGGTTCTGAGGAATATACGGCCGTAGGGAGAGTGTCTTATATGTTTCTCCAGGTCGTTCCAAGCTCCGCTTGAGTCAGACTTATCTTTCATTAAACTCTATCAAAGTTCAATCAGCGAGGGTGTGTCGCTCCTCGTGTTCTAATCTATCATCAGAGGGTGTTAATCATTGCCATGATGGGAGGGCGCGTTCCGTTATCTTTTGTTGGTAAAGTCTACAGTCGGCGGATCTAGAGGATCTTGCAGGCTTGCAGGAGTTTCCGAAAGGTTCGCCTCGTGATAGTTTAAGCGTCTTTTCCGGACGATCAGGGGAAGGTAAGGGCCGAAAGGCTTGCAGGAGTTTCTCTGGGGATTCCCTCGTCTTCACAGTCTTCTTGATCTTTTGTTAAGGGTATAACTGGGATGTCGAAGGGGGTCTAGTTTAAGCGTCATTCCGGACGTACGGTGTCATATCCTTTTGTTGTTATACTCGAGGTAGAGGACAGGGGGATCCAAGCATAGGGGGCTGGAGGGTGTCTGGGGTCGTCCAGCGAGGAAGGTAGTTTAATGTCATTTCAGACAGTCTTAGTTTAATGTCTTTCCGGACAATCGCGCAGTTTATAGTTGTGCTGGACTCAGGCCTAGTGTATAGTCATAGCGGACTTGGGTCCAGTTTAGCATCATAGTGGACGTGTCGGCGAGTTCGAAAGGGGTAGAGACCTATTAGATAGAAAAGGTGTGGAAAAGGTAAAAACAATGTGAATTTACCCCGTCACTAGGATGTTGATCTACCACGATTAACGAAATTAAAAGTCCAATTCGAGACTTGCGCAGTCAGGGTCTTCAGAAGGAGAGGCGGTAATGAAATCGCTGATCATCCGGATTAATGAAGATCTGGGGTTGTCTTCTTCGTCAGAGTCAGATTCATCAGAATCCTCATCAGCCGATAAGGCTGGTTCTGGAAGCATGGGGGGCATCAGAGGACACGCATTCAAGTGCTGGATCACCATGTCGAAATAGCTTTTGACTGGGTTCTGGTCGGGTTCGACCGACGACATTTGTACGTCAGTGACTAGGGGTGTCGCGGGGCTTACAGCATGGCCCAGTTTGGTGTCTTCGCTGTCGGACATAGGCATGTCCTGGTGACAGAGAGGGGTAGTTTCTTCATTATTGAACCGCAGTTTCTTGGCTGCCGGTTGATCTGCCATGAAGACGGCTCTTCCTTTTCCGAGAACGGATATCGGTTCTCTGGAAAACTCAAACTTCTTCTGAGTTGTCTCTGGTTCAGGGGCCAGTCTAGGGATCTTGGCAGGAGGTGCTTCTGCCATGACAATCGCGCGTCCTTTGCCAAGGACAGACACGGGTTCTGCCGAGAATTTCATACTCGGTTCGGAGGCGGGAGAGGGCCTCTTCTTTTCATTAAGAGTTGGGAAGGGGTTCTTCGGGACTGATGGGGGCGCCAAAGACGTAGATGTCTTGGTGGCTTGGTTCCTCACAGCTTCTTCGGGCTGTGGTGCGGGGTGCTGCGGCTGGGGAAGTGCAGCAGTCTGGGGTGTGGGTCCTTCTTCGGGGATTTCCACAATCTGGGCATAGGGCGTGGCAGCCGGTGTCGGTGCTAGTTTAGACTCTTTTCGGAGTTTCTTCTTTGTCAAGGAGCAGTCAGCGACTCGCTTATCTTTCTTCTGGAAGAGGGGCGTCAAGCTGTTCTTCTTCTGTTCTAGGTTAATCTCCCGTTCCATGTCTCTGGATTCAGGAGTGGCGGCAAGGGTCAGAGTGGTCGCCGTCCAATCTATGCTAGGGTTGTTGGCGATTAGCCATGGCTGCCCAAGCAGGAACTTATCTGAGTAGCTAAGTTCGGCCAGGTAAAACCTTATAGGTAATACCCGTTCATCGATCTGGACCGTGAGGGTGCAGTATCGGGAGATAGGCCCTCCGGCCATGTTAGATCCGTCCGCGTTGGTTACCGGGAGTGGTTTCCGCAGCGGGTGCGAGGAGATGCGGTGCTTCTTGCAATAATCCTTATTGATGAAGGATCGGCAGGCACCCAAGTAAACGACCATAGAAGTTGTTATTGGTGCTTCTCTTCTTTCTGAAATCAAGGTTACAGGGACCCTGAATTCTTTCTTCTTACCGATGGTCTTAATAGACCTAATCGGGTCTTCATTGACAATCTTTCTCCTATCTCGGCAGAGATTGTCAGTGGCGCGGTGGCCAGTCATATTACAGTTGAAGCATCGCCTGCTGTTAAGGCGAATGCGGATTTCTTTCTCGTTGAGGCGGGAGGCCGCGGCGATTTTCATGCGTATGGATGAGGGTTGGGCTTCATTCTTTTCTCGCCTGGCCAAGGCGGTCTTTGATTGATTCTTTTCTCGCCGATTCACGGCGGTCTTCTTCGTCAGCGCCTTCTTCGGGGACACTACGAGTGTGCGGCGCTCTTCTTTGGGAGTCGTCCGTCTACGGCGCTCTTCTGCGGGAGTCGTCCGTAATGAGGATGCTATGGTGTTTGGCATTCCTATCTATACAATGCTGGTCGGGGCAAGGTGTGTATCTGGGGGGTGCGTCGCGTAGATAGGCGACAATCAGATAGACTTTAATCTTTTGTTACGCTGACCGTCGGTCAGCGTGTGCGAACTAGGATAGGTCTTCTCAGCGACGACTCGAGTGAGTCTACTGAAGCTGAGGGTGGTTCTTGGCTTGACGGAACGTCAAGGGTTCCTCCGGTGATCTCGGTAAGACGGCGCTTGTCAAGATACAGGGCTAGCGGATACGTGCTAAGTCGTATGGGGGCGACTTAGAAGTGCGGTCTTATGCAAGGAAGCTGGTAAGGCTTAGTTGAACAAGTTCTGGGATGAACCTAGTAGATTAAAGTAAAGTCTAAGTACAATAATCTGTCTACTTATAGGGTCTAGCTACAAGTGTTCAAGCTCAGTCTGTAATCTATAGTATATCGAGGATCTATGATAACAAGACATGAGGTTCAGATAAGTACATGAGGCTTAACCTCTGATCAAGCATGCAGCGCCAAGTGCAACTGCGCATAAGTACATGAGGCGCCAAGGGCACTCCGGATCTTCATGAAGCGACATGTGGTATACATGCACTGATCTAGGGTGACCATGAGGCGCACAGCCTTCATGGATCAGGTACAAGGCCGCCTAGGCCAGGGGCGGGTCTTAGCGCCAGGGGCGGCGTCATAGCGGTCCAGACCGCTGTCTTTCTAAGTGCAGGCGGTGTTTCGCCGTGTTCAGAGTCTAGCAGGGCGGGGGCTGGCATAGGCAGAGCAGGGGCTCCAGTAGGTGTTACAGATGCCTGTAACAGCATGTGCTGGGCGCATGCGCTAGACACTGGTTGTTGCTGGAGTGGGGTAGTGGTTGCAGCAAGTGGTGGTGGTGGTGGCGGCATGGTTGCGGCATGGTTGACTCAATCAGTAAATAAAATGAAAACGGATATACAAATAACTACCTTGAGGACAGAGTCTTGAGAGTTGATTGATTAGTACTAATCTTCAAAAAGGCTAAAAGTAGCCTAATTAACCAATAGTGCAACTCCCGAAGACGACACTTTGACGTCGACATAGAGACTGATATTGTCGTAGTTGAAGTTGAAGTTGAAGTTGAAGTTGACAATGGGTTCGGGGTTCGGAATGGTTCGGGAAGGTCGAACCAGAACTGGACCATTTGGGAAGATCTAGAACCGAGAACCGTTTTCCGGTCCGGTTCTGGCTGGCGCGAGAACCATGGACCGAACCGCGGAGAACCGGACCAAAAGTCCGGTTCGAACCATGGTTCTGGACCGGACCGCGGCAGCACTATTCGGAGTTCATCCATAGTGACGCGATCACGTGCATGCCGCGTGGTAGGCTTGTCTTACTCTTCTTGACTACATACTCATCGACGACACCCAGTATAATCACTGCAGATATCTATCAATTAAAACATGGCCGATATTACAGACAACTGGATTGTCGCTGACAGCGAAGACGAAGATGCTTTACGACCTCTTCAAATTGCTGACCAAAGCGGCCTCTTGAGCGGAACGTTTTCTACAGGCCCGGAAAACATACTACAGCGTTAGGAATTCTTCAAGCTTCATGTCCTACACCGCATGCTAACTGGACACGGATTTGCAGCGTCAACAATTCAGACTGCTTCGTTCATTACCAGTCAAGCACAGACTCCCCAGCGAGGACGCGAACCTCTCGACACAAGTAATGTGTCTCTGTTTACACCACCTCCAGGTTACCAAGACTCTGAACCACCAAATACTTCTCCGTTACTTCCTCATGGCGCGGGAATACCTGTACCGAAGTCTAAACCCCGCCCACGTCCTGTGCCGCGAAAGTCTCGAACTACGAGTACCATATATGACGACTTCATCAAAGACGATGAACTTCGTTCCTCTGGCTCACTCATCGGCTCTGCATCTGAAATCCCAGCCAGTACCTTGGCTGTAGACAGCATCCGCCCTCCAACCACACCATCTGCGGTTTCAGATCTCATCGAGGAAGTCGATCCTGTGTTTAGCATTGCCGACCGGGCCAAGACGCGCACTCGAAAGACTCAGGTCAAGAAGCCGACTTACGTGCCTGTCAACCATGATGTGATAGAGTTAACATCCGACTCCGACCTCGACGAACTATCACTCAAGCCTCCACGGAAGCGGCAGAAATCCCAAGACAAGCCCGTCAAGCCCAAGCCGAGACCCAGGCCTAAAGCTAGGACATCGCCTTCACTGAAGGTTCCTGAAGAAAGCATCGTCGATACTCAGCCGAGCAACGTTGTCGTTCTTCCTGCACCGCAAGAGCCAGCGCTTCCGTCTCAACTATCTTCTACAACATCACGCCTCCCGTCTTATATTCCTGCTTTACCCGATTTGTCTTCTCCGCCCTCTTCTCCACCCGAGATAACTCGTAAACGGAAGAAGGTTTCCCTGCTTCAGTCAAAGGTTCATGGCGAAAAGATGGATGTAGACGTCGCCGATACTTCGTCATCCTCTATTATAGCACCTCCTCTATTTTCTGCACAACTGTCGCCCGTCGTCCCAGAAATGGACGATTCGCACACACTTGGAGATGAAAACGGGGACGCAGACATCATCGTTGCTACGAACAAGGGCAAGAAAAAGGACATAAAGTTGTCTTCTCGGGCGAAGGGGAAGAAAAAAGGTCGGAAGCAGGCTGACAGAGTTGAACTCGACGATCTTGCGCACAAATCCTCCATGGATGAACCAGCTGCAGGTAATAATGCCCTCGAAGACGACGATTTCGTTGAGGAAGAGGAAATGAAAGTTATATCGAAAAGGAAGGCACTATCGAAACCCACCTCCACTGCAAAATCGAAATCGAAATCGAAACCTAAGGCAAAAGGCAGAAGGAAGGCGGTTCTCTCGGAAAGTGAAAATGAGGACGGCAACGACGACCCTCCTCGTTCGAGGTCACCTAACCCAAGTAGGCATTTACCCGAGGACGAAGACTCTCGAGACCACAATCCCAAGGAATCCGAAATCATTGTAACCCCTGAGATAACCAAGGTACTACATTTCGTACTCTTTGATATCCTCACTTACATTCTACCTAAAAGATTCCCCCGAAGAACATAGCTCCCCCACCAAAGCAGACTCCGTCTGTCACTCTCCAGTCACGCGCCTTCAGCATCAAACCCAAGTCGACCCCGATGTCAGAGCTCATCCAGGCGTGTCAACTCACAACCAAATTCACCGTTCTCAAACGGTCGCTCCTACTCGCCATTGGTCAAGTCTTCGCGAACGATGCTTTCGCGGATTGCACCGCTCCACCCCAACCGACGGACCCCTCCACCACCATTACCGAGACCTCCCCCGCCGAAGAAGAGCAAGAAGCAACTAGAGATGGAGGAGCGTATCGAGGAGGAGTTGTCGGAGACTGTTGAGGGGTGGTCGTGTATGACTGACGAGGAGAGGAGGAACTTGCGCAGAGCGCGAATTGATGCTGAGTTGGGTTATGAATGATTGCGAGTCGCGTCAAGTGTATTTTTATTCCTTATCATGCCGTTTACTTTTTTATTACTATGTATTGTGCAACTTCATGGAGAGCTTGTATATTAGCCAATGGCCGGAGACTCATCATGATACTGACTCGCCATACAATTGTCCAATAGCGACGGTAGCTCTGTCACAGGGTGAAGAGTGACGCGGGCACAGTCTCAAGATCTCACCGACACCATCGGTCAACTCGTGCTCGGAGAACCCCTGTCGTTTTGTTTCAAATATTTTATCACTTCTGCAGATGTGCTTGAAATCTTCCTATAAATAATAGTAGTTATAGCCCTCCGTGTATATACTGATTCTTATGAAAATTCGCGCCCGGTTCAGAGATCATGAAACCTTCCCAAGCAGCGTACGCTCGACTCTTGCACTATTAATCTATTGCTGGTCCTAGTGCCTGCATATCCGCTCCTGGTCCGTCACCGTCACCGTTTGGAACCACGTCAACAAACCGTTTGATGGTTAGTGTGCTATTTCCAGACGTTAGCACTGTGGATCAAATTCCCCTGACTCCATAGAGGCACTGGGTCCCAGCTGAAGAATCATGGTCTTCATAGCAAAATGTCTATTAGCGTACATGTATCAGCCAGTAGTGTTTCAGTGGCAATCCGAGACAGTTCATATTCATATCCGTATTTCCGCCTCGTCGAACAAAAGTGAAAGGCAAACTCCTTCACCTCGTCAAAACCCATCAAGTATGCCTCGCATCATCAAGCTACGCATGCACGACCGTGCTTCGCGCACCTTGGAATCATCTTGATTGGATCTTCCGTAAGCCAGTCGAGTGAAAAACAGGAGCGGGACGTCGAATGAGGCGAGAAGATGAATCGAGGACGGATTACACACTACTGCCAGTCGATATGTCCACACGTTCCTGGAAAGCGATTGAGTTCATAACAATATATGTGTCGGGATCGGCCACGAGTCTAGCGCCATACTCTCGAACACTAAGGATCAGCTGTGGTCCCAGCACAAACAGCTGCATGGTCTGCAAAATCTGAAGCAACCCATAAAAAGTCTGGATTCCCAGAGAACTTTGGTACTATAGAGATGATGAATCATGGTAGCATGTATAGGTGAGTGAAAGATCGACATACCGTTGAGAATGTTGGAGAGAAATCAAGAATGAGCACGAAACACGAAACAGCGACAAAGCTACCAAGTCCGACCATTCAGTGGAAAAAGGGAACAAGCAATCACAATATAAGCTCACCTCGCAAAGTAAAGCACATGAGTTTTCATCAACACCGTGAAACAGTGCCCCATAACCCCTCCTGCCGAATGTCGGGGCAGTTCACGGAAGCGTTTTACCGCAATCCAGACTGCGAGGCACAGCGCGAAGACCTCCCACACAGTTGCAAGTATCCAAGTAACAGAATTCAGAAGTAGAAAATCTCCTGTGAAGGTAATCCAGCACTGATGAGAGCCGGAAAAAACGGCTTCCTCTGATATCCATCAGTGAGCCCCATGCACGTTCGTTTTCATCCATAATCAAGCGTACCTCCTGAAGCCTGCACCATTGCTATTACAGCTACGACTCCATTGAAAATGTTGACAACCAGGATGTTGACAACGAGAAACATCAGGATTTTTCTGGATCGTTGATACATGGCATGCAGCCGAGTGACGATGATGACTTGCAGCGTGTTTCAGTCAATATCACTGAGGTCTCCCAAGTGCCAAGCTCACCACACAGCATCGCAAATGCCACAACACCCGTCCAATTCCATAGGACGTACACGTTCCAGCCTGACGAATCCAGTCAGTGATCAACCTCAAATAGCACACTCCAAACAGACTCACATCTGTGGCAGTATAGCGTGGCAGTCAGTAGAGAACCAAGTAGTTAGTAAAGAACCACACCCACTCCTACAGGGAACCACAGTTAATTGGAGGGGAATAGCAGGCATCTGCGCAGAAGACTCACTGTATCTGTCAGCGAGATGGTCGGAATATGGACTCCATACCGTTTGTCAGAAGAATCGAAGACAGTAGATGTACTAAGAAGACATACACAGGATGACCAGGCTGATTACAAGAAACAGACGATCAACACAGCATGGATTGTTTGACTTTCCGGACATACACAGCATATAAGATTCCAAGGTAGCGCACCTAGGATACTTTCAAGTCAGCATAGCATGACAACCACGACAAACAAGCTACATACACCGAGATACAGAACTGTCATCAAGGACCAACGTTGCCTCTGTAATTAAGTGTATTTTCATGGTTATTCCTCTGACATGAGACTCTACTCACCCAGACCAATTCAACCTATAAAAGGATTCTTAGCAGGATGGCTACTCCGGTCATGGTATCGACATACCTCTTGTGCGAATGTAAGTGCTGAAAAACCTTTGTAAGATATCAGCAGTCCTTTAATGTTATCATGCTCACCCCAATTATATGTCACTACAACAAAGGCGGCAACTGCGAAACCGCTAAATTGAGATATCATCTTCAGAATCCGACTGCTCTTCACGAACTTGAAAAATAGCTGGAAAAACGATACGCATTGATGATCGGCCACCAAGCGGGATCATTTGAGAATATGGTCATATTGGTAGAGAATTGGAGTGAGGGTGAAAGGTGAACTTGGTAGACGTATTTATATACCACCGTCCAGTGCTTGGGTCACCAAAATGAAATTGAGGGACGATAACCATTCCTGCGTTGATTGCCCAAAGATCCAGGGGCTAGTAGCGCTCAACGTAAACATTGGTCATGAAACATTTCGACGGGCGGAACGCTTGCCAATATACTAACACAATGAAAGATAGAAGGCAAATTGTGTCGGCATGCCCAGAAATAAACCGTCAAAAGTAGGGAAGGTTCACACGAAGTCAACTCGTGCGCGAAGCATAGTACTATCTCAATGTTGAAGATTTCTGCACCTCGTTCTTGGGCCATCTGTCGCTTCGTGCGCACATCCAACAATGATGAGTGCAGAATCTTCAATCTGCATCGTGAAATTAATGCGGTGCTGACGGGCATCAGTTTGTCTAGCCATAGATAGCCTAGTTCAAAAACGCTGATTGACAGATAGTACGTACTAGTGACAATGTCATCACTAGATCTAAACAGCAATGAGACAGGACACGGAGAAAAGAAAACTCGGGCGCACTGATATGACCGTGACTGCATAAAACTTGATTTGTTGTTCTTCAAACCGTACTGACTCATATCATGAGAACGTCCGGGAAATGGCAAGGCGATGGACAGTCTGGGGGTTATAAGTCTGTCGCATGTATGGAATCGAGTCTGAGGGCATCATGATGTCAGCTGCTCCGAAGCTCGGCTCGAAATTTCCCACTCCTACCCGTGATCACGTGCATGTATACCTTTAATGTGTCATCGCGACTTCGACTTGATTTCATACATACAGTGCATAGCGTTAGTAATGTATAAATCTCATCTTGAATCAAATTTTGGCAGCTCCCATCGATCGTGGTATGCGGGCAGATGCCCACAAAATTGTATAATGTATAATGTATGGCCTTTGAAGGTCCGGTATACACTATGAGATATGGTCTGTACCGAGTAGGACTACTGCTAAGTTGCCGGAAGTTGATGCATGGCATAACAATGTTGTAAGATGATCATTGTCACTGACAGCGAAGACGAAGATGCTTTACGACCTCTCCAAATTGCTTCAAACCAAAGCGGCCTCTTGACACTTGAGTGGAACCCCGTTTTCTACAGGCCCGGAAAAGATACCACAGCGTCAGGAATTCTTCAAGCTTCATGCATCATGGGCTGTACCGCAGGCTGGCTGATCATGATTCTGCAGCGTCATTGATTCAGACTGCCTCATTTACTACCAGTCAAGTGCGGACTCCCCACTAGGATATGGTCCTCTCATAAGTAATGTGTCTTCACTTACGCCACCTCCAGGGTACCAGGACTCTGACCCACTAAATACTTAGATTCAGCGGCTCTCCCTATTGTTTTGTCCTCCTTAAATTCATGGGCTTTCCTTTCCATAATAGACTCTCCCCCAAGAAGGAATTTGAAATCATTGCAATCCCTGAATTAACCAAGCCTTGTGCTCGATTTCCATCAGAAGATTCCTCCCCAAAGCGTAGCTGCCTCATCAAAGCAACTCCAATATCACTGAGAGCTCATCCGGCGCAACCGAATCCACCGTTTTCAAATAGCCCCTTATATTCGTCATTGGTGAAGTCTTCGCGAACGATGCTTTCGTGGATTGCGCCGCTCCACCCTAACCGACGGACTACTATTACGGAGACCTCCCCCCGCTGAAGAAGAGCAAGAAGTAAATAGTGATGGAGGAACATATTGAGGAGGAGCTGTCGAAGACTTTTGAGGGGTGGTCGTGTATAACTGACGAGGAAGGGTGCAAGTTGATGTGGAGTTGTTATAAATGTGTATTTTTATGTAATACGTTATCATGCCTGTTACTTCTTTATTGCCATGTGTTGTGCAATTTTGTATCAACCCTTGCTCTCGAGACGTTCAATATGGATCCGCTCGCTCAATGGCCCGGGAGACTCACGATACTCGCTATGCAGTTGTCCAATAGCGACGGGCGCTGTGTCGCAGTGGTGTATTATCCAAACTCCGCTTGGCTAGGATAATCGATGATCCCAGACTCCACATACTTGGAGTCCGCCCAGACCGGCCATATCTTCTTGCAGTCAAGCCCAGCCGTATTCATGCAGTTCCACTACGGGCCAGCGAGGTGAAGACACTGCAAATTCTATGTGTCCCAGGAACACTGCGACTTGACTTGCAACTTGCTGTTTCGAATATCAAAAAGTCAGCCTCGCATCACTTTCAAATAACTCGGACGTCAGTGTGTTTCAACTCAGTCTAAATGCAAAACAGTGTGGGGAGAAAGTGGGGATCTGAGCCCGGATGATCATTGATCGGCGAGAGAATAACCTTGGTTAATTGGTTATTTTTCCCTATCATCGCCGTTATAAGTGTTGCTACTAGTACGTGCCTATATGATTGTGAGTACCCGCAAGAATCTGTCTACTACTGCTCTTTATTGATGCGATTGCTCGGCCATGGAGCCTAGCCAGGTACAGCATGCGTACAAGCCATCCGGGTCTTACATTCTCCCATTTCTATGCCAATGGGGCTCGGGTGATGATTATCCGGTGGCCGAGTTAAAAGAATGATGGCATCACATCACCAACTACGCACTTACTGCACAGCTTCGCAATACAGCTTCCCTATGTTTGGCATCGATGCGAAAACCCTGTGTTGACATTTGGTAGCCAAGTGAGTTGTCTATCTTGAACCTGCCCTACATTGCATTTCTCGATATATACTAGTAGGTGATATCTTGACAGACTTTGTGCGCGTTCTATGCCCGAGGAAACCGTCAGTGGCTCAGCGAAGTGGTAAGACTGCTTATACTTGTCGACGATGATTGGGACGGCAGGAATTCTCCATATGCTCAATTTTACTTCGGTGTGATCATATTACGGGTGACGAGGGTCGGGCCTTGTCCGATGGATCGCGCAAGTAGACTAAACTTCTCGCTAATATCTGGTATCTTGGGACAAGTTACCACGCTTACATCTACCAACAGTTGATTTATTCCATTTTTTTTTGCGGCGGAGTGCTTTTGACAGGGTTTCGCAACCAGCTTAGATTCGATCAAAGCGCGCTGAAACGGCTTCCCCTTTCTACTTGACTCCATGTGACATTACGTGCTTCTGTCAATTATGACAGTGCCTAAACCATAATGGCCTATAAAAGCACTGCATGATGGTATATTATCCAGTACTGAGCACAACGCGATCGTACGCATCCACTCTCTTGACATTCGTTACTCCCTCCTACCATCCTTGAGCACTATGACTTTAGTCTCAGACGATCCCGTTTGGTGGCCCTCCATTAATTCGTATCGTATCGCTAGCTATTTTATAGGTTCGTGAAAGCCAATCAGGTAGTAACTTCCTCGATCTAACCTTTTACAGTTGCGGCCTCTGCCGGGGTGATGTACGATTGGGGTGAGTAAGATAGCATTGAAGAACTACTGATGTCCTCATCGCATTCTTAGTATTGACATTCGGATATGAGGTAGGTTTATACCATTGCCGGAGCAGCCATGTCGCTAAGGATAGTTTGATAGGTTGAACTGATTTGGGTGAGCAGAATCCCACATCACAAAAACCAATATTTGATTTGCGGCAGAGGCAACACTGGTCCCTCATGACCGGTCTGTATCTCAGTGTATGTAGCTTGGGTTATACCTCGTGGTTGGCCGGCTAGTTGTACTGACTGGAATTTTTCTTCCTAGGCACGCTATCTTGGATTAGTATACGCAGCGTATGTTTAGAATGCTAAGTAATTGGTGTTGTGCTAATTCACCATATCTCATCAGCATCGGCTTGCTGAGTATGTCTCATATAAACCGTCGTATTTATTTCGCCTGATCAATGGCACATAGTATATGTTCCAACAATCTCTTTGACAGATGCGGTGAGTATTCCGCACCACTGCCGATCTTTCCCGTCTAATCCGCTGCATTGTCATATAGGGGTAAGTGCTTTACCATCCCCTTGGTTCCGTATAATGACTCCCATAGTTGTGAGTTTGTGCAGAATATGTGGTCTTCCGAGGCTAATCACGAATTGATTTTTCCAGGCCATATCATATATGTTGTATCAAATTCGATGATCACAGTCGTGAATGCAATATTAGGCGGTGAGTTAGCGATTCCCCAGTAATATTGACTTGGCTGAAATGCTATGCAAGTCATCATGGTCGCTCGGTTGCATGCCATGTATCAGCGCAAAAAGATGCTGATATTTCTCTCCGTCGTCCTCCTGGCTGTCACCATTGGCAATGGAGTATCCATAACAATAATAACTATGCGTATGTCAGAGGGTAAGCTATAATTACGGATGAAAGACTTAATCCCCTAGGCTCACTAGATAACAGAGGAACTTGTTCTCTCCGGCACCTACCAGTGCTTTGTTAACTTTGTGGACAACACAAATCTTGCTTATTCCATGTATTGGATGTTCATCACTGCATGGGAGGTCCTCGCACTGTGTCTCGCAATCTGGATTGCTGTAAAACACTTCCGTGAACTGAAACGACCATCGACCGGATGGGTTATCGGGGACTGTTTCACAGCGTTAACGAAGAGTCATGTGGTCTACTTCGTGAGGTGAGTTCATAATGTGAATCGGTTTCTTCTTTCCGCTAAAGTCTTGCATGTGCTAGCTTTGTTGCTGTCTCTTGTTTCAATTTCGGTTATTTGTCTCCAGCCGTCTCAGCGGTATGCCGATCTGTCTGATCTCTGCATGTAACCGCAGTTCATCATTTTTATAGGACCCATTTACACTCGCGAGTCAGATTTATCCGGGTCTTACTCAGATTTTCTTGCTCGTCCAGTTGTTTGTGCTGGGACCGCGCTTGATACTCAGTGTTCGAAAATACCATGCTAAGAGCACGGCCAATTCTGATACAGCAAGTGGCGTGACTTCAGTTTATTTCCAGGAGCTCGTGCATGTGTCGACTAGCAGTAGTGTGTAGCATAGGAAATAAGTGCGCTGTGATTTATATTTGTCGGGTACTCTGCAGAGCATTAGGTTTTAAGCCAAGTTTCATTGTGGCACTTCATAATTATACATAATATATTTCGCGAATCGGACAGTCGAGGACGAAAGACACCTTATATTCGTCTATCGCGTGTACAGCTACTGCTGAAGAGGCAATTTAAAATCCAACGGCCCGTCGTACGAAAAACCGCCTACAAAATTCTGCCAATTCGTCAAGAAACTCGAACCTCCTACGTAATCCCTGTATTGATTCAGACAGAGTGTAAGTATTTTGGATGTGATTTGTCCTAGATGCAAGTGATGATTGTGTGAGTCGAAGTCTCTGTTTTTGCCCGATCTGCAACGTAGAGGATAGTGTTGGGCCAAATACATTTCTCCATTACGTTTGATTCAACCTAACAATTGGTCAATCGTCCATTACTCAGCGTAGCGCTACATGAGATCTTTTTATGGCACCGCTTACCTTCAACCATGCCCGGGATGCCGTGGCATGTCCTGCATGGATGAGGGAGTGGGTCACACCAATAAAGCGGGCCAATATCTTTGGTTGAGTCAATACATCTTGTTTTTATTCTCTGAGACACCCCTTTCCTCGATAGCCTTGATGAGGAAGGTTTTGTACGCAATACGAAATCTAAGAAAATGAACAGGGCCTGTCAAGCGAACTTCTCGACCCCTAGATGTCAGATGAAGCGATAGCCTTCGCGGCCGGCGTTCTTAGGGAGTAAACAAGAATGTGTGGGCAATTCGATGAATACGCATTAGATCGCCAATCGACGCCTGGCTTCTTGCTGAAGCTAAGGTCGCATGTATCAATATTCATTGAGACCAGAAACAAAAACGAGCGAGTGCTTCTGACTATAACAAGACCCCTCGTCGATGCCACCGAACTTCCAGATGGCATGTGGAGACCCTTGATTTGAAGGAGAAAGAGATGAGCGAGGCAACGGATGGAAGTCGCATAAAAACTCCGAAGAATGCTAGTGAGCGAGTCCGACTCCTATCTATCACGAAACGACCGTGCTCCAGCCTGGCTCAAGTCCAGAGGTAGTATCTTCAAGTTCGTGGTATGATTCCTTTAATTCCTCCATGAACTCGTATGCAGAATGACGTAACATTCGATTATTCGTCTATATATCAAGCAAATTCGTGAAAATCTACAGTTTGTGCACCAAAATTTTCACGTGCTAACTGGAAGGCCGTCAAATTTTCACACGAATCTCACTCCTGGAGGGCGCGTTCAACGACATAGGTTTATACAACATTTTCGTCGCAGTATTTATCCGAATCATCTCCTATAGGTCTTGACATTGACAAGGTTTCAACCAATGTCCTGGATATCTCTACTGTACCAACGAAGGAAAGCAGTGCCCAGAACGGGAAAGTCGAGGAGCGAGAGATGTTTATAGGCGATCTCGCCGGAACGTTAGATGCAAGTTTCAATTTGCTCCTGCTTCTAGAACTAGTACTCATCTTTGAGACTCGTAATTTATCTCTCGTTGTATCAGAAGCACTATGGGATATTAACTTTTGTCGTATGATGTGGCTGCCTTGTAGTATAGGAACTGTCCATGTCTGCGGCGAATTTCATTTAGCATTCCCCACCATTTCAAGGACTCATCAATTCACTGACACTCATGCCGTGTCACGGTCATCCGATGATTCCACCAAGCAGGACCCTTTAACACCTGGTGGACGAAGAACACCAGGAGCATCCATCGATCTCAGTAGTGGGAATTTGAGATGTTGAATGATGGTGTTGTCGCAGGAAGAGCTAACGAGGAGAGCACAGTCAGAGTCAAAGTGACAGCTAGGTACAATGCCTTCTGTGGGTGAACGAAGAAGTACGGTTTCTCGCTGTTGTGTGATGAGTCCTAGTCATCCTTTGTGTTTCAGGTACTTGCACTCGCTTCGTCGCTCCCAATTGGCAATCACCAAACGTGCTGCTCAAACATTCAACCACGCTCATATTCAAGATGCACAAATATTGGACGAGAGTCAACCAATTTCGCATCGAGGACTATCAATCAATCCCATGTGACCATCGTGCAACCAACCATACCATCAACGACTCGTCTTCATACATCTAGACCATCTCCCCATCTACCACGCTACAGAACCTCGCCGACTCGCCTCCCCACAAATACTTTCTTCATTCTTGGGTTCGCCCCTCCAGAACACGACACAGTATCATTGTTCTGTTTCTATTTACAATCCTTTACAACAAACAAACAGTGACAGTTATTTAGTCCCCACCTTCCATCCTAGCAGCATGTAAGATACACGATGGATTAAGCATAGCGTGCGTTTACATCAGAGTGTCACTGCCCTTAATCCTGTGACATCGTTCTCACTCCTGTAACAGTAGGAACTCGGCTGCTGGCGCTCAGATCATCAATCTTTCATAGCACAAGTTGAAGGCTTCCAGATCCTGGTTGTAGTGATGGAGCTACTCTCTTAGCTTGTTCTTTTCTAACGACATGCTAATCTGTGCCAACATATTACACACAAGAGCCCCACGCTACTGAGCTCTTCCATCAACTTTTACGAAATCAGCGTCTCAGCGCTGTTTGAATCTAGAAATGCCATTGTATTTCTCAATCAGGGATTCTCAACTAGGCTATCTCTGGTTGCGCAAACTGATGTCCGCACTCCACGATGCAGATCGAAGATTCTGCACTCATCATTTTTGGCAACCTTATGATATGAAAGCCCGATGACCGAGCCAGAGAGCAAGAAGGTGCGCACGAAGCGACAAATGGCCTGAGGGCGAGGAGAAGGGATAGTAAGCATTGAGGTATGTGCTCAAGCGCCGCTCACATACGGGTAGAATGTGAGTTATCTCTATCATGGTTTATCTTTGATCTGGTCTCAGTGGCATGCAGATATAATTTGCTATCTTTTACGATGTTATGTAAAGGGTTCCGCTCGTCGGAATGTTTCATGTCCAGCATTTACGTTAAGTCCCTGGATCTTTGGTCGATAAAGGCAGGGATGATTATTATGTTTCAACCTCATTTTGGCGATCCAAGCGCTGGATGGTGGTTATATGCTACCACCATACGTCTACCAAGTTTGTCTCTCATCCACACCCATTCTCTACCAATATGACCGTAGTCTCCAATGATCCCACTTGGTGGCCAGCCATCAGTGCGTATAATTTTTCCAGCTATTTTGCAGGTTCGTGGAGAGCAGTCGGATCTTGAAGCTGATGTCTCAATCTGACCTTGGCTACGGTTTTGCAGTTGCCGCCTTCGTTGGAGTAACATATGATTGGGGTGAGCATGAGAACATCAAAGGACTGCTGATATCCTTACAAGTGTTTTTCAGCACTTACATTTGGACAAGAGGTATGTCAATACCATCACCGGAACCCATCTAGCTGATAACCCTTTTGTAGGTCGAATTGGTCTGGGTAAGTACAGTCTCGTGCCAGAGGAACATACATAAAAGTACACTTAATTACAGAGACAACGCTGGTCGCTCATGACAGTGCTGTATCTCAGTGTATGTAGCTTGTTTGTCGTAGTTGCCATTTTGTGCTGACTCGAAAGTATCCTAGGTGCGCTACCTTGGAATCCTATCTGCTGCGTATGTTCAGAAGGCTAAACATTCGGTGTTGTGCTAATCGTTTGTCTCTTATAATCAGTCTGTTCATGGTTGGTATGTCTCCTTAGTACATTAACTGTCTTCGCTTCTTCTGACCAACGGCATTCAGGCAATGTTCCGACCATCTCGCTGACGGATACAGTGAGTCTTCTGTATGAATGCCTGTCATTCCCCTCAAATTCACCGTAGTGTTCTGTAGCAGTGGGTGTGGTTCTTTGCTGACTTCTCAGTCCACTAATAACTGCCACGCTATACTACCAAAGATGTGAGTCTGTTTGGAGTGTGTGCTACTTGAGACTGGTCGCTGATCGGATTTGTCAGGCTGGATGGCATACACTGTATTCAGTTTGGATGGGTGTTGTGGCATTTGCGATGCTGTGGGGTGAGCTTTGCACTTGCGAGACCTCAGTGATATTGGAATGACTGAAACATGCTGCAAGTCATCATCATCACTCGGTTGCATGCCATGTATCAACGAGACAGAAAGATCCTGATATTTCTCGTTGTCACCTTCCTGGCGATCAACATTTTTGATGTAGTGACAACCTTAATGTCAACGATCCATATTTCAGTAGGTACGCTTAATTATGGATGAAAACGGACGTGCACAGGGCTCATTGATCGATACCAGAGGAACTCATTCTCTCCGGCACCTACCAGTGCAGGATTGGCTATGCAGGAGATACCCTAGTTCTGGGTTCTGTTGCTTGGATATTCACCATTGTGTGGGAGGTCCTCAGCACTATGTCTCGCAGTCTGGATTGTGGTAAAACACTTCCGTGAACTACGATTACATCGGACAGGAGGGATTATCGGGGACTGTTTTACAATGTTGATGAAAACTCATGTGCTTTACTTTGTGAGGTAAGTTCATATTGTAATTATTGTCTTTTTTTCCACTGAAGGGTAGAACATAATAGCTTTGTTACTGTTTCTTGCTTCGAGCTCATCCTTTGTTTCTCTCCAACGGTATGTTAATCTTTCACTTAACTCTGCATGCAACCACGAATCATCATTTTTATAGGACCAAAATGTCGTAGAAAGTGACACTTTTTATGGCTTGCTTCAGATTTTCTCAGTGGTGCAGATGTTTGTGCTGGGACCACGGCTGATCCTTGGCGTTCGAGAATATAATGCTAAACTAGTGGCTAACTCCGACGCAGCATCTCGCATGACCTCAATCGCTTTCCAAGAGCGTATGAATATATCGACTAGCAGTAGTGTGTGAAGTTGACGCGAACCGCGTTGTCTAGTGCTTGCAGGGAGCACGGGAAATTAGTTTTTTGTTTATATTCCAAGCCTCGTCATGCGGTGCTCAAGTAGTTATTTAGTGTCACAAAATAGATGAATCTATCGTGATCGACGAACTGTTGACTTACATAATTGACCCTCATGTCTTCAAGCATTTTACATATAACCCACCTTCGAGGATGCCTGAAACGTTCTCAATTCCCTTGGTCTTCCATTCTCTATCCGTCTGACTCAGCTCTGTCAGACGCAAGGCTTAGGCGACGTGTATGCTCAAGACCACTTTACAATCCTACGTCTCTCACATCCTCTTATTCTCACCTTTTCCGCGATTTCTCTCTCTGAGCTCTCTTTGTAAGAGCCATTGCATCTATCGTCTTCTCAATGTCCAGACACCCAAGGTCCTAGGCTGCGTGCGCCCCCATCATCTGCACGATCCCAAAGATGCATTCTTTACACCTGTTCTCGATGCCCATTTGGCAATACCCGTCTATTATATTGTACCATCGGAGGTGTTGATAGGGATCGTATCAAAGAGGAAGAGGAATGGGAATAAGGGTGGGAAGACGAAGATAAGACAATTGCCGTTGCCTCCCAGCTCATGAATCGACGGTTCTTTGATGTTGGATGGAGGTAAGACGAGGGATGGATTGGCGATGCGCTGGCAGCTATTGTTACCAGCCTGGGATCGGGCCCACTAATAATGACGACCTTACCTGGTCTACCGCTGTCGTAGCCGTATACGAGTATGAAAAAACTGTAAGTAGATCAAATCAAATCATGATCAAGTCGTTTGGATGATGCACCCAAGATCGAAGTACAATATGAGTTCCTGTTTGCGATTCACTTCAGGGACATCTCTAGATTTTTTCCATGCAGTGCCACGCGCCGCGTGTTGAAACGTTGATGGTCGATAATGCCATCAAAGCTCGACGTGGTCGAGTAGGCGACAAGTGCTTCTTAACCGACTTACTTTACCCGCTCAGAATACGCGATTCAGCCACATATCAATTTGTGCTATTCCTCCTCTTTTCGTCAGTCATACACAACGACCTCTCAACAATATTTTTCATCTCTTCGATATACGCCTTCCGGTTCTTGTTCGTTGGCAGCGGTACAACTTCGGCAAGGGTGAATGGACATATCAGGAGTATTGTGATTCATGACTGAGTTTTGCAACATTGTTCAGTTCGTGTTCAAACGTCGAATTTTCCATAACTCGCGAACTAATGTATGTCTTACCCTGTGTCGTACTTACGAACATCTAATGATGTGCTCAGCTCTCGGTGGGATGTCATGGATATACGACAGGCTGCTGCATCACCGTGTAGGTTTGTTGCATTCAACGAGTGACAAATGGTCCTACTCCAAACAAGCTGATCAGTCCTTGTTGCGAGTTGGCTTCGCAAGATGAAAATTTGTTCCACACCAAATTGCTGGTAGACATTGCTCCACAAGGTAGGTCTTATAGCTGGCAATATGCTTGGCATTGACCTTGCGTCGGGAGGTGACGTCTCATTCCACGTCAAATTGCCAATAGACCCGCTTCACGAGGTGGCAATCGGCTGGAATTGGAGGTACATCATTTCGAAAGGGATTTCAGGTGGACTTAGTACTTCGACATTGCCATAAAGGACAAGATTCAGCACATACATACAAGGCGCCTTCCTACGTTCCCTTCAGATATGAATCCCATATCCTCACGAACAATTCGTTTCCCCTTTGTACTCGTCGTTGCTGCTGCTTTGACAGCCTCGATATCTGCCACTGACGTTGTCAGTGAAAAATGTCCTGCCGTCTGCATTATTTCTAGCCAGTGCTGGGACTGCGCTGATGGGGCGCTGTGTGTAAGTATGAGTGAGTTATATTTGACCCAACAACTCACCTGCGTGGTAGCTCTTCTTTGTATGCTACTTCTAGTGTGGCAGTGAGTCACGTTTCTGTTTTCACGTCTGTCCAGTATAGTTGATGACACGACAGGTGAAGCGATGGGGTGCTCGATCATTGGGGTGGGATAAGGGTTCTGGGAGGGGTGAGGACAAGAGACCGGTGATTCGAGCGAGGGTTCTGTGGTTACGAAGAAGAGAATTGTCGATGCCTGCAGACAGGTTATGATTCAATTGTCGTTGTTAATTGAATACGCTCCCGCAGGTTCTGCCGAAATTTCTTCCATGTGGCAACAGTTCTGCCAAATCGATGAGAATCGTGCCCATAAGCATATGCAGGATATAAAAGCTGGTCGTCGTCCTACAGTGTTCCCTCATCCTCAGAGATATCCCCCTCAGAAGATCCCGTATCACCTCACACAGAAAATGCGTTTCTCCCTACTCGCCGTTGTCGTTGCTTTGACAGCATCTATGTTTGTCAGTGCATGTGTGACCGAGGGAATGCCATGCGAAGGAATAGACTGCTGTCATGACCTTTTTTGTGTGAGCAGGTCGCTGTGCAACAAGGATTCGACTACATGATTCACCTGTGCCTCTTAGAATAAGAACCTTGTCTGCGAGCCGTTTTAGCCTGCTGAAAATTACGCCGGCAGCCTGAGCGGCACGTCGCGACAGTGAGTGGCGGTAGAGGCGAGGTTTGGGGTGATCATGCAGCAGGGATGATATTCACTTTCTTTCTTTGAAGAAGTTGTCGAGGGTTGAGGAGTCCTGTGGTGTCAGGGTCTTCGCACTGAGCTAAAAGATTGTACGGATCCGGTTCTCTATGGACTTGCTTAGCGGAAAAAAAAACAGTTAAAAAGGGCGGGATGCTCACCGTAATAGATGTAGATTTGCTCAATTGGCCTCGGTTTGACTTTGAAAGACCGGGATGCCACAACACCTAGCTACTCAAGTCGGAGTACTGGGATAGGCTGATATGAAGGGACGGGATCGGGTAGAATATGCTGGTGTTCTGAGGGTTCGGCAACAGTAAGCACTAGTAGTCTAGTTGTAGCGTGCCTGCAGCCAGTTGCCAGCTACTGTGGGAAGGAATTTCAAATTCAATGTGGCCGTCATTGATTCGTCCGCGGGTTCCTCCCTCCGAGTCAGTCTCGCTCTCCGGGTGGGTCGCATTTCTCGAGCATCACATCGGTGTATACACCAAAGGTTCTGTTCTTGTCCTTTATAACTTCGGGCGGCCCATTCCTTGATCATTCTTTCTGTGTACAACTAACCTCCTCTTTTATATAACCGCCCCTTCTTTGTATGACTGCCTTCATCGCTACAGACATTAATCGCGTCATAATTACAGAGACAATGTCTGTCACTGGCGAGCAACCCACGAGGTCAACTTGGGTGCCGTTTAAGACTCAGTGTTAGATCAATGATCTGTATAGACACAGTGTTATTGATGAGCCGAGACCGAACCCTGTAATGTCACCAACGCCTTGAAGACCGCACCATTACATTGCCGAAATCACAGGCAGTTCTCTGATCTCTTACGGCGTTGGACACCCCGCGTGAGTCACTGCTTTGGGATTTATCAACTTCTACCGTGATCCCATCGATATCCCTGGATGCCCTTTGTTCTCTTACGTGGATTCATGCTGAAATACTTTCTTCGATCAATCAGATGTCATTCATTACAGCTATCTTCATATCGATAGACTTGAATCATCTAGCCGCTTTTGTTTATTGTTGGGGCGACACCAAACTTAGAGGCGCTCATACTAGCTACTTTTGTAAGTCATCATCATAACTTGGGGAGTACTCTAATAGTACGATTGTCATCATCATACACAGAAACCGTCGACATATATACTACTATCACCAACTATAAGGCAACCTTTGTTGTCAGACGTCAAGCAATGAAGCCCTCGCCGTGCAAGACACTACAATGCTGCCAAAGGTAAGTCGTTATACGAGGCTTCACTTACTAGTTTCTGTAACTCTGGCACTTTAGTCAGATCATTGCCTCCTCATTTACGTCAAAAAATACATGCGCAAACATATCTCACAGACTAGTATGTATACTCATGCAATCCATGCTTATTCATGCCGCGTGTGGATATGGCAACCCACTTGCTGTTTTTCAGCTGATCACTGCGCGCGCAGTGCGGTGGAGTCTAAGGTCACTTATTTGTACCGACCCGCCCAATCCCCATAAGTCGGGACTTACAAGTGCTAGATGGTCATTGTGGTAGTATATCAAGCACAAATGCAATCATTATACGTCCACTAAGATCTCCGCCCCCTCACTTCCAATCCTCCCATAGTATGACCGTAGTCTCGAATGATCCCACCTGGTGGCCATCCATCAATTCATATCGTGTTTCCAACTATTTCATAGGTTCGTGGAGAGTTAGCTGCATGATGTCTATGATGATTCAATTATCCTTGGGTGTGATGTTGCAGTTGCCGCCTATGTCGGGGTAATATACGATTGGGGTGAGCAAGGCCAAGTGCGAAAAAACCACTGACATCCTTACTCTGGTGTTTCCAGCACTCACGTTTGGACAAGAGGTAGGTCCATCATCCATTACTAGGGCAGCCATCTCACTCAGAGTGTTTTACAGGTTGAACTGATCTTGGTGAGCGGACGCCCGCATCATATAACAATATACCATGACTACTTCGCGGCAGAGGCAACGCTGGTCCCTGATGACCGTCCTGTATGTCATTGTATGTAACTTGTGTTTCAACTTGTGTTTAGCAAGTTGAGCTGACCTTAAAGCATCCTAGGTGCGCTATGGTGGAGTGTTTTATGCTGTGTACGTCAGGAAGGCTAAGCAATCACTGTTGCGCTCACTACCCATCTCTCATAATCAGGATGAACATATCGTGTATGTGTCCTCCCATTCGCCGTGTTTATTTCTTCTGATCGACAGCGTACAGTTGCTGTTCCAACATTTCAACGACAGATGCAGTGCGTATTCTACACTGATTCCTTCCATTCTCGTCCAAACAACTGAACTACCATGTAGGGGTGAATGAGATTCTCGAACAACCAGTCGGTTCGATATAACATTTGCCACAGTTGTGAGTCTATTTCAAGCTTGTGATTGATAATTAATGTTGCTCGATTATCAGGCCTTATGATAAACGA